AAATAATTGTAATTTTTTTTTAAATTATATTTTTTAAAAAGTTTAAAAACCAAAAATAATTTTTTTAAATAATATTAATACCTTCCAAAATGAAATCAATTTGTTGACCAGCAACCGTATCCATGACGACGGCTGCAGCTTTGTGCTAGCCGCCGTCTTCCTTTCCATCCCCGCGCCCTTTGTTGACGACCGCCGCAGGTTCGTGCGTGCCGTTGTCACTATTTCATCTCCTCCCCCTACGTCAGGCGCATGCGCGCTGACACTTTTTATACCGCGCCCCCTCTAGACGTCAGCGCGCATGGACAATCCCCCTTATTACGACGCCGGCGGCTGCGCAGTGCCGACCGGCGTCAAACTACACTTCCCATCAACCCCCATCGGTTTTATGCCGGTCACGTCACCGCGCATAAAATCGCTTATTTTAAGTATATACTGGTTATTTTCCAATATATATATATAAACATTTTAATGTTCATTTAATGTCTTTTTATGTATATATTGCTTATGTTTCACTTTGACCATGTTTTAATTATACTAATTTTAAACTTTACTATGATTGGCTGCTGACATTTTGGCGCCAATTTCAATGGATTTTATATGCTATTTAAATATTCCACTGCCAGGTATCAGGTTCTTTACCCATATTGATAACGCCGTATTGGCGAAACGCGTTTATGGTTATTATATTGTGTGATTTTAATATTAAATTATATTTGGTAACTTTTATTGTACCACTTATCTTTTAACACACATTCACTATTTACCTGGCATCCTTTTATCGTACCTGGACTCCAAGTAATCCAAGGTGGGGATTATACTACCAGCGCTAAATACAAGGAGCAGATGACCTGCTCCTATCTTGTGAGTACCCATTTTTATTCTCTTATTTTATTCTTGTTTATCCAGAGAACACCATTAGCAGTTTTTTTTATACCGAGTGCTTACCACCCCAAGGACGGAGAAAAGAGACGAAGGTTATTCCATTTATATCCCATAAGCGGGGATTAAACCGCTGTACGCCTTCCACACCAGAGCGGGTCACAGCTCTGGCAAATGTGAGTTTGCATTCTAGTTTTTTATATTTTTATCATCTCCACTGTTGAATATACTACACTATTTGGCTCTCTATTTATCCCTTATCTCTTGCATACGAGCGGATCCATAAGGAGGATATCGATAAGGACCATTACTATGGACCAAATATTACTACATACGACCTCAACAGACGCCTTGAGATAAGACTCTTTATCCATTTATTTTATCTGGACTATTTGTCTTACACAGAGTTTTATTCAGCGCAGCCCTTACTTCTATTTATTTTTGCTTTGTGTTACGTTTAAGGGTTTTTTGAGGGAATCCCTTATAGGGTTGCTGCTTTATTGTGTTATTTAGCGCTTACGCATTGCTTTGGTTTTAATAATAAAATAAGGTGCACCTCCAAGCACATACAGAACCATATAGATGTTAAGCTTTGTAATCACTATTAGGTACTTTAAGGTTCGATACCGCTCACCCTAAAATTATCACAAAATAAATAATTTTAAGTTTATGTTGATTAAGGGAAGCAAACCAAAAAAAATAAAATACACAAAGGTATATAAATGAATGACTAGTGAATTCTGGAATAAAACCACCATCACTATCAGCCAAGCAGTCTTGGTTTAACAAATGATTGAGTACCATTTACAGCTTGCAAGAGGCAAAATATTCTGTATATTCTAGTATACAAAACAAACATGGCAGTGTGAAATGAGACAATGATTTAGATCACATAGGAAAAAGAAAAACAAATTTGATGCACATACTAAATTATGGTTTATATGGATCTGAAAAGTAACACCACAGAGATTCCTTTATTTGAAAGCAGCAAAAAAAAAATTATAAATTAAACCCAACATGGTGGAAGAAAATGTGCCTATAGGTAATAAATTGCAAAATAATGACCAGTGACAAGCAGACAAATGTTATTTGAGGACAATTAGGACAAAAATTGAAATGTAACAGCCTTGTAGAAGCAGATGTTTAGAGAAAAATAAATATTATCCTGTCACTGCCAAAATACCGGTATTAACAGAATGGTTTTATTGTCTGAAAAAATAAAATCAGTTTAACTAATTAATCTGGAACTTGAACAATAATATTTATCAATTTGTGACATTAAATTAATTTGAAGCCCAACTAGTACCGGGTAGTTGGACCTAGATGCAGTGCTTCTCATGCAAGCAAGAATGAGCATATTGTGACATTTTCAGACTGATGATATAGTGCAGTATTGACAATTCTATAAAAACATAACTACAAAAAAAGGGGTATGTTGAATCTGTAGATTTGATCTATATTATGAGATCTATAAGGATGTATCTTATGTAGTCGTATTTTAAAAGGATGTGATTTATATTTAACCCTACATGGGAGAATTTTGCTCCACAGGTCTAAGACTTTAGATACTGGCATCCTTCTAGAAGTATAAATAAAAAAAAATAAAAAATAAATAGAATAGGGAGGCCTTTAAAAGAACCTAGTCCTATTTTTGTTGAGTGTTCCCACTAATTACTGCACTCCAATACTTCATTGTAATTTGGCTGCATTCAATATATTCCAGAGTTTGTGCAGAAAACAGAAATGGTTTATTCACAAAGCTTTTGTGTTTTTACATCTTCCTATTTATTATGGTATGTGTAATCTCCAGGAGATTAAAACTTGACCAGAGGATTTAGAGAGAAAAAATATCATTGTAGTCTTCAAAGAAAAATAAAATTCAGGCAGTCACTATCGCACAGTCCCACAGTTGAGTAAAAGACCCTCTGGTAGGTACTGTATTTGTGGAGAGGCTTGTGGTTAATCCAGCCTGAGTTCCAGTAGGGGGCACTGTAGATTTAAGAAAACACTAACAACCTAGGAGAAAGAATAGAGAAAATATAGTTAAAAAGCTCTGTTCTATAAACTTAGTAGAACCCAGGACTTGCACAGAAAACATCAGTGAAATGTCTCTAAAAGTCACAATGTTAAATGCAAATACATACATGCATGCATGCATCAATGGATATTCATACAAAGAAATTAGTCTTTCAAAAGGCTCCAAGGTCTTAGGATGCTCAAGCCTCTATTGTGTCAATTAACAGCATATAATTATTTAACACTTATTACAAAGATTCCTAGACATAGCCTACTATTCACAATATGAAATGGAAAATAAAAAATTATATATATATATATATATATATATATATATATATATATATATATATATATATATATATATATATATATATATATATATATATATATATATATCCATGCCAAAATTGGTTTTCATAAAGTCAGTTCTTCCTAAAAAATAAGAAAAGAAAAAAAACACTACATAAAGCATAAAATTGTGTAACAGACCCCACTAAATATAAAAAGTAAACAGTAATTCTAACTTGGCATGAATATTGATAGATAAAGTGGTTACTGTGAGCAATAAAAAGCATGGATTGAGTGTCAGTCAAGGTGTCTACGTCTAGCATGTAATTTAACAATTAAAATACATCTGTCCATCTACAACTGCCTTTTGCTGAAAGCGGTCAGGCTTTCTTGGCAAGCAGCCAATTACAGGCATTTAAACACACTGGCGCCAATGAGTTAAATGGAGTAATTTAATACGCTCACTCTGCATAGCAACTCTAAGAAAAAGAGTTTTTTTGAGTTAAAACAGTTGACTGAAACTAGCATAATCAGGTCATGGTATATTAAAGGTCAAGTGTACTTCGTTACTACTGCCCTCTCATGATCTTGGAGGAATCAAACATTAGCACAGACAGACAGCTTCTGCACAGTGTGTGAAGGCTGTAAGCGGTTTAGTACTTATGACAAGCTCCAAACTTTCAATGGGTTATTCACTCTTGACAAAAGGAGAGAGAACTATAGGCTTCTCTGGTTATACTAGGAACACCTTTCCCTTAATGACAGACTTCCTTATACTAATCACATAAGCATATTGTCAGCTGGTGCTGGATATATAGTGACCAGTCTGGAATGATGTCATGAAATTAAATTTTTCCTTAATAGGATAACACAGGCTTTAAACCTGAATTCCATCTCAATGTAGAGAAAGTAATTCACTTTAAACCAGTGGTTAGGTTTGGAAATCGGTCCCTGGTGAAACATGTGCAGCAGCTGTGCAAAGGCTGCATGTTCCAGCTGCTCTATGTCCTCAAAAACCACTCTGCATGGTCAGCCATGTCTAGCAGCCCAAAGAATCCTGGGATTACCGAGGTCTGCATGAAGCTAATCCGAGTCAGATACTCAATACATGATCTTCCTCAAAATCAGTAAGTCTGATGATTGGTTTTAAACGGATCTGGACATTTCTTTATGCTAAATTGCTTACACTTTTTTATATACAATAAAAGGAAAAACAGAAAAAAGCTAAAGCTCAAAATAATAGTAATTAAGCATTATTACAAAAATCACACATTACAAAGGGTCAGCGCTAACAAACAGCAAAGGACAAGCAAAGGCAGCACACCTACATAAATAGGGTTTCCTCACAAACCTTAAAAAGTTACGAAAACAAACTGAGAAAGAAGATGGAAGGTAGCGCCAGTAATACTAAGTATATAAAACTGAAAAAATATTTAAAAAAAAACAAAACAAGAAAACGACCTCTATCAAGACTTGGCTGTTCCCTTCCAAGTGGTATTTTTTTCTGATTGGACTTTTATTGTGGACTTTTTATACTCTATAATACTTTTAATTTTTTTTATAATTTTTTCAGTTTAATACACTTAATATTACTGGCGCTACCTTCCATCTTCTTTCTCCTTTTGTTTTCAAAAATCACATTAATAGAAAACAAGACGGAGTTACAAGCCCACAATGCAGCTTTATTGTAAGTGGTCTTCACCATTTCTATGTGAATACTACAGTAGTATACGTGTGCACAGTTTAAAAGAAGTTTGTGCACTTGGGGCATGTTCCAGAGAACCAATGTATCTCAAGAACATTGACAATCTGCGGGCGAGAAGGGTGAACAATCCACAGATGCTAGCAGAATTGCAAACTCATATTCACATTAGAGTGTTCCTTTCATTTTGTACACTATATCCCCATAAGCAAATGCTTCCTCACAGCGGATAACAGTATGACGGCAATACATTAGATGGTAACAATTGTTTTCTTGTGAGCTATTCAATTCCATACAATTCTTCCAGCACACTGTAAACACATGCTCCATGGTTAAAGGGACACTATAGTCACCAGAACAACTACAGCTTATTGAATTTGTTCTGGTGAGTAGAATCATTACCTTCAGGTTTTTTGCTATAAACACTGTCTTTTCAGAGAAAATGCAGTGTTTACATTACAGCCTAGTGATAACGTCACTGGCCACTCCTCAGATAGCTGTTAGAGATCCTTCCTGGATCATGGCTGCCCAAAATGCATCCAAACATTCAGTATCTCCTACCTCTGCATGAAGACACTGAACTTTCCTCATAGAGATTCATTGATTCAATTCATCTCTATGAGGGGATGCAGATTGGCCAGGGCTGTGTTTGAATCATGCTGGCTCTGCCCCTGATCTGCCTCCTAGTCAGTCTCAGCCAATCCTATGGGGAAGCACTTTGATTGGATCAGGCTACCACTTCTGATGATATTAGCAGACTGCTTGTTTTTCTGAGTCAAACAGCATACAGATTTACAGCTTCGAGTTTGAATACAGTAAGATTTTGCTATATTGATGGAGGCATGAGGGGCCCAGGGGGGCTAGATGGTGGTTTTGACCCTATAGTGATCCTTTAGGTCCACACTGCAGTACAACTGTAGATCTGGATTCTAAATTGTATATTAGAACAGACAGACATACGATACAAATAGCAGGTACACATAATGCAGTCAGAAATGTGAAAAGAAAATATACATTTAGTAAAGTCACCTAACAGCTCACCCACTTGAGGGAGCAGAAGCTGAACCACCCAAGGGGACTTTTGTATTCCACCATCATCACACATGTCTACCACAGTTAGAGAATGTTTACTTTTATATACACATCTATATTCTCCTTTGTTTCCGTTTCCGTTTCAAATCTACTATTTAAAAAAAATAAATTATAATTTCTTCTTTCTTATTGCGCAACCCGTAATATACGTGCAAAGTCTATTAGCCTAATATGTGCTCAACCCAAGCAGTTTCATAAGCAAGCACTACAAAAGCACAAAGATAGGATGTATTAACACTTGTTAACTGTTGCCAAACACACCGCATGGCAGAGTAAACACTCTCGCCAACAAATCCCTACCACCCCCCTCCTGCCGGGTTACCAACTCTAATGCGCCACACACAGTCTATAGGAAGGAGGCACAACCCCATTGTGGGTATCACCAAACTGACTTCCACTCTTACCACACCCACAAGGGATATTTAAATAGGTCTTGTATAATGTACTTATAAAATGTGCTATGTTTTCTAATGTTGAATGTGAAGCTAACAACAGCTGTTGGGGCATTGCTTGCCTATGTGTACCCTATATGCACGATTAAATAAAGAACTAAAAAATAAAAAAATAAATAAAAAAAAAAACACACCTTTATTTTATTTTATTCTTTTCCACAAAACTCCAGCGAGCGCCTGAATGGGAAAGTTTGTTTCCTTTCTGTGATTTAACACTTGAGAGGATTTGCCTGTGTTTTCTAATATTTTTTTTTTTTCCCCCATAGTCAAAAAACAAAGACAGTCGTTTCCTGGCCAGGAAATAGTTTATATATAGTTTAAATGAGTAACAGGAATTACACAGAGTAATCTAATTTCCTGTATCTATATATAAACATAGCCTGCAGGAAGAAAAAGGTATACACACAGCAGCATACAGTAGGAAGTTCTACAAATGCCATATGGAAAGAGATGGCATGGTTCTAAGGTCTAAAAATGTAACTATGTGAAAAAGAGAATGTCGTTATAATCATGGACGATGTAAATGAGCATTATAAAACTTTTAACAGTGCCAGCCAAGAGGAAAAAGTTGAGTAATCGCCATGGAAACCAGGGCATATATCACTTAATTTCTCCACTTTTATAACTTTGCCCCAAATTATTATTTAGACAGATCTGGTATTCAGCTGCTAGCTGAATGCCAGATCTGCATGCATCAGCTGAAATTAATGCGACACTATAGTCACCTAAACAACTTTATTATGTTATTTATATAGCGCCATCAAATTCCGCAGCGCTTTACAATCGGCGGACGAACAGACATGTAGTTGTAACCATACAAGTTGGACACACAGGAACAGAGGGGTTTAGGGCCCTGCTCAATGAGCTTACATGCTAGAGGGAGTGTGGTAAAATGACAAAAAAGGTTAATGATAGTATTAGACTAGTGACAGAGGAATCAGTCAGGAGCTATTAACAGTTTAATTGATACGCTTTTATGAAGAAGTGGGTTTTTAACGATTTTTTGGAAGGAGTGGAGACTGGGTGAGCATCTAACGGAGGAGGAAAGCGAGTTCCACAGGAACGGTGCAGCCCTCGAGAAATCCTGAAGGCGAGCATCAGAGGTGGGAGTACGGACAGAAGATAGACGTAAGTCTTCAGCAGATCCTAAGGGCCTAGACGGGACATACTTGAAGCAGTTTTGGTTTATAGATCATGCCTTTGTAGTCTCACTGCTCAATTCTCTGCCATTTAGGAGATTAATCACTTTGTTTATGCAGCTCTTGGCACACCTCCCTGCATGTGACTTTCATACTCTACCTAAACACCTCCTGACACTAGTCATCTAATGTGTATACTTTCTTTATTACAAATTTTCTTTACTACTGCTTTGTTAATAGTTTGCTAGACCCTGCAGGGCCTCATGTATGTAATAGAAGTTCAATTTCGAGAACAGAAGATAAAAATCTTTAAAGTAGTATGGCTATGGCTGCATAAAGAGAAACAAAAGTGATTTAAAGGAACACTATAGTCACCTAAACAACTTTAGCTTAATGAAGCAGCTTTAGTGTATAGATCATGCCTCTCAGGTTCTACTGCTCAATTCGCTGCCATGTAAGAGTTAAATCTATTTGTTTCTGTTTGTGCAGCCCTTGCCACACCTCCCTGGCTATGACTGATACAGCCTGCATGAAACAAAACACTGGTTTTACTTTCAATTAGATGTCATTTACCTTATCTCTTGCTTTGTAAATTGAACATTAAATCACATACAGGAGGCTCTTGCAGGGTCTAGCAAGCTATTGACATTGCAAGGGATAAGAAAATCTAAATTAAACAGAACTTGCAATAAAGAAGGGATAAACTTTAGATGACTCTTTGCAGGAAATGTTTAGGAAGGTTGTGCAAGTCACATGCAGGAAGGTGTGACTAGGGTTCATAATCAAAATGATTTAACTCTTAAATGGCAAAGAATTGAGCAGTGAGGCTGCAGGGGCATGTTCTATACACCAAAACTGCTTCATTAAAGGGACTCTCCAGTGCCAGGAAAACAGTTTTCCTGGCACTGCAGGTCCCCTCTGCCTCTCACCCCCCATCCCAGGTTGCTGAAGGGGTTAAAACCTGTATCCAGTGCCGATGTCCGTCGGCGCTGGTGCAGGGTCCGCCCACGCACCTGTTGCGCATGCACGGACGGCGGTGGAGACCTAATGCACGCGCTTTAGACCTCCCCGTATGAAAGCATTGAAAGAAGCTTTCAATGCTTCCCTATGGGGATTTTAGCGACACTGGAGGTCCTCACATAGCGTGAGGATGTCCAGCGACGCTATAGCACAGAAGATCTGTGCTATAAACCAGGAAATGCCCTCTAGTAGACAGCCACTAGAGGAGGAGTTAACCCTGCAATGTAAATATTGCAGTTTATGAAAACTGCGATATTTACAGTTGCAGGGTTAAGGGTAGTGGGAGTTGGCACCCAGACCACTCCAATGGGCAAAAGTGGTCTGGGTGCCTGGAGTGTCCCTTTAAGCTAAAGTTGTTTTGGTGACTATAGTGTCCCTTTAACTTCTAAATGGGAGATAATTGAGCAGTGAAACACATATGCATTTATTGAAAAGAAAGCTGTTCCTGATTACAAACACTGCTTTAAATTCACATCTGCATAAATAATATCAATAACAACTCCAGAACCAACAAACAGACATACGATTACATTTCACTAAATATGTTAGTGTGCAGACAGCAATAAATCAGCCTCTCTCAGACTAGGTTAGCCATGTTGTACCAGTAGCAGAGTGATCTATTGAATGTTACAACTAAGCTGTGACAAAATCAAGACATTATAGAAACACATGCCACAGAGATTTTTATGCAGTGAAATTAATCTTCCATTGGATTTAATTATAAAAAAAACTACAGCCATTAGCCACACTAGCTGGATATTAACACTGGATACCAATACTGGATACAATTTTATTAGGAAGGAAAAGATCTGAGTGTCACAGGATCGATAATGATGTTATTTAATCAATAGTGAGTTCCCATCTTCAGTGTAAGTGCTTAACCCTTTATAATAATCAATTTCACTTAAAGTGAAAAAAAAAAATGTAAAAAAAAGTGTGGGGGGAGGTAAGCAGACAGTCCGGCTCTTTGGAAAGATGCACATTTGGTGACGGTTCCCATTAAGATCTTACATTACTTGGAGATTACAATACCAAGGGTCTTTTTTATGACAACCAATACATCAAGCTACCATTCATGCAAGCATTTTTTTTTTTCTGCTAGTTTCCCTGGGGACATTTTATCTGCATGCACCAGTTGTGAAATCCTTTTAGCATGGAAGATGGCTTATAACTGGGGATAAAAACCCAACTGAGCATGCGAGGTTCTATTTAAATACCAGAACTGCTTGTACTCTGAAGATTCATTTTGTCCTTACATGCCTATGTCTGCCAGAAGGCATTTGTCTTAAGAAAAGGAAGGAGGAAAAAAAAAAAAAGAGCCAAAACATCCCTTTTGCCAAAAGATCAGTTGATTAGTTTAAACTATTAAAATGTCAAATGCATAAAGAAAGTAACAATGCAAGAAACACTATTTTAGATCCCATTTACAAGCACACACTGCACATGTAATTTTCACTTTCAGGCTGCTCTTCTTAAAACGCAGTTAGGAAGTCACTGGAAAAGTGATGATTTTAAAATTTCAGTAAGCATGCCTTTCTAACAGAAAAAAAAAAAGTCACAATGACAAAGAATTACTACAAATGATCACGCGTGTGTCTACAAACTACTCAGGAGAATTCCTGCCCAAGGAAAAAGTGATGTTTCTAAATAATGTTGTTTTTACTTGAAGCAACAGTAAATGCAGATTCACTGTGCCTGGTGAATCCGGAGAATGGAAACGTAACAAACCCATACAAACAAATCACGTACAGAAACATTCATATTTACCATGATACGGATAACTCCACAAACAGACCATACACGCGTTATAACTAGTACAGCTTGTTGTGGGGAATAAAGTGTCAGGAGACAGTAGATACGTGCAGTCCCTTCAGTAATTGTCAAGCAGTGTCCCAAAACTGTGGTGTACACTGCACCACTTATTATAGAGGCATCATAATTATGAATTTAAACTTCTAATTAAAGGAACACTATAGTCACCTAAATTACTTTAGCTAAATAAAGCAGTTTTGGTGTATAGATCATTCCCCTGCATTTTCACTGCTCAATTCACTGTTATTTAGGAGTTAAGTCACTTTGTTTCTGTTTATGCAGCCCTAACCACACCTCCCCTGGCTATGATTGACAGAGCCTGCATGAAAAAAAAACTGGTTTCACTTTCAAACAGATGTAATTTACCTTAAATAATTGTATCTCAATCTCTAAATTGAACTTTAATCACATACAGGAGGCTCTTGCAGGGTCTAGCAAGCTATTAACATAGCAGGGATAAGAAAATCTTAATTAAACAGAACTTGCAATAAAGAAAGCCTAATAGGAAGTATTTATGGAAGGCTGTGCAAGTCACATGCAGGGAGGTGTGACTAGGGTTCATAAACAAAGGGATTTAACTCCTAAATGGCAGAGGATTGAGCAGTGAGGCTGCAGGGGCATGTTCTATACACCAAAACTGCTTTATTAAGCTAAAGTTGTTCAGGTGACTATAGTGTCCCTTTCATCCATAATATTTGGGTTCATTGCCAAAAGGTTTACAGTATTTAATCCTCAAATTGCTAGCGTAGATTTGATGGTCGTATCTTTCACATGTTGTGCTAACAGCTTGGATTTGCATGGTGTACAAATATTTTTTACAAACAGGTAGTGAGGAATCTATTTTTTGTATTAGGACATTCCTGTCAGTGCATGGACTTAAAATACTTCAATACAGTCTAATGAAAACCAGTTTAACTTCACCCATAGTCTTCAAGTATCAAAACAAATACAAGAAACTGTAGTTATAGTGTTTGAAATTTCCCTCCAAGATATATAAAGTTCTCCACTAACCCTTAAACTGTATACAGATCATAAAAAATGAATTAACCGAATATTACAAATTTACTTTAGGTCTTATTTAACTGCATGAAAAAGCTGAAAATACTTACACTGGGAGGGCCCATGTAGTACTTCACAGTTCGGACAATGATACAGGTCAATATCAGCTGCCTGATGCTCCTCTACTTTCACACAGCTGCAAGAAGAAATAAAATTGTATTAGAAGTTATTGGCTATCAAATGCTACATTAACATTTCCTGTATGGGAAAACTGGGTCTTTGCAATGCACACGACCAACATTATTATTATTATTATTGCCATTTATATAGCGCCAACAGATTCCGTAGCGCTTTATAATAAAGCCAAGTATGGAACTCACAGTCAACTCTTCCAGTGCCAAATGTGTAAAACCATGATCCTCAACCTCTGAGCCTTTAGAAGGGTTAAATATCAGTTGACATTTGGTGCAACAGACGGGCATGTAAACAAAATAATTCAACATTTCAGTAATGGCAAATCTGCAGATGTTAAATCACGTGCTAAGGAGATGACAGACAACGGAAAATGTCATCCTGGGTCGTTTCCTTAGTGAAAATAAAAAATGAGTCATACAGTACACACAGAAATCCCAGCTAAATGCCACAGAAAAATGTTAGGATCCAACAGCTGGCCAAAACTGCTGAGAGAGGCAGAGAACTCCTACTCTGGTTGATGTCCAAACACCTGCTATTGATGTTTGAATTACAAAGATCTGGAAACACTGAGAAAAAAAAAAATTTAAAAAAAAGGAAAACTGAAATGGAAAAAGTTTGGAATAGCACTGTGTAAAAAATTTTCAACACACCCATTTCTGTGACCATAGTTTACAATTACAAGTAATCCTAGCTAGAATTTAAAACCAAAGCAAAAGTTACAATAAAATGCCACACACTCTGTATTACATATATTCTCATACATAACCTAACTCACCACAACTGCACAACAGCTACTCACACCTACATATCAAGCGAACAGTATTCTTTCACTATTTACCCATTACCTGCATGCACATAGCACACTCTGATTCATTATGTGCGAGTTATTCACACACTAGCAAGTCAACATGTTTTCCTGTACACCTCTGCAGGCAGTGAGGAGGGAAGGGAGCTCTGGAGAAGCAGCATTCCATCTTGTATTTTCCTTGAGCTCCTGATCCAGAGAGGATAAGACATCAGTAACCAGCTGTAAGTAAGGAACCTGCGTTAAAACGCAATGACAACTTTTAAGCAGTTTCCACTGCTACATGACCAAGACAGCCCAAGCACTTGCTGAAAAAAATAGCTGTTCAGGTTTCATCCTGTGATCCTTCTGACCGCCAAAAAAACGCATATATTCTGAACCTGGTCCACCGTTCGGTTTCGTCATGGCATCCAGACACAATAGATTTGGAGAGTCCTGGTTTAAACAAGCAAAGCAGCGCATTGGCACTGCAGCTGTTGCAGACCAATTTTTTCCATGATGCACAGGGTTGACAAAAAAAAGTTTTACACACTGTAGTGGAGCTCCGATATCCCAACTGGATATCTCCAGTGAAATTCCCTCTTAGCTGGATGGAGAGCCTTTTAGTGTTCATAGTCCTATTCCCCAGACATCAGAAGACACAAGGATGGGGAAAACAACCGGTAAACTTGACCAGAATTCCCTAGAATCAGGGCCAGGTCCCACTGCAGGTATCGCAGTTGCTCTGGCTATCAAAGGCTTCTCCAGGGCAAGGTAAATAGGGGAGTGTATAATGTGTGTGTGCTCACCTGTCCTGCTGATGCTTATTACCAACTAAATGTATTTGGCTATGGAGCCTGTATAGCACTCTCTGTTGGTAGCAACAGCTATATGCACTATATACATGGCATGGCTTCTTAATTTGCCTATTGCTATTTCTGCAGGCAGGAGAGATATTATTATTATTATTTTATTATTTATATGGCGCCAACAAATTCCGTAGCGCTGTACAATGGGGTATTGTGTGTTAATTATTGTCTTCCCCACCCCTTTATGAATATGTCATTATAAATTCCAGAATGTTGTCTGATGTAATTTGATTCTATTTTTATTGATTTGTCGCCATAAGTTACATGTAATGAGCTTATGGGCTAGTTCCGAGAAAGGATAAAGCTGAGCATGTTAGTTCCTTTTAGAACGGTGTGGATTTTTAGGGATACCAGTAACAGAGTCCTTGGACCAGTTTGCTGGCTGCACAATTATTATTTATATAGCTCCAGCAAATTCTGTAGTACTGTACAATGGGTGGACCAACAGACACGTAGTTGTAACAAACAAGTGGACCCACAGGAACAGAGATGTTGAGAGCCCTGCTCAATAAGCATGCATGCTAGAGGATCCCTCTAACCCTGAGATAAATCAAGAGAGCTAGGCCTGAGAGCCACAAGTGTCTTTGAAAAGACAAGAGCTATTACACTGCACGCAGTGGTGCATAACAGTCTGGAAGCAGAGTTGCAGATGGATTAGGCAAAGGGGACGATACCTGCCCGGAAGAAGGGCTGTAGAGGAAAAGGCAGAGGGGACTGTGGCAGATCCTTTAGTAACCTAGTCGGATACAGGTCTCCCCAAACCTCCACCCCTCTCTCAAAAGACTGTCATCACTATGGACTAACCCTCCAGCCTGCATTTCCCAGCTCTGAGGCGCAGGGCACCTGATTGAGAGAAACCCTGATTTCTCCTGGTTCTCTAAAGTGGATTGCGGAGTCATCGCTGTCCGCTAAAACTTTATCCAGGAGTGCTCTCTGTCCCAGGACCATCAAGCAGGGCACCTTTTGGAGGGTTAACAGAGAGAGTGGCAAGGCATCGAAAGACATCAAGAGCTCCTTGTACTCACGGAAAGTGCTGTTATGTGACCGGGGAACTCGACCCAACACTCAGGAACTCTGCACCAGATCAGAGGCTAGCCACAGCTCATTGAATTTTGGACTTTCATCCAATTTGAGCTAGTCACATGCAACACAAACACTTTTTGGACAGAATGGGAGCTCCAGAGAGACCTTTCCGGGGATATATGACATGTACAGGTGCTCCGTTATATTGTATATGTTTTGGTGTGTTTTTTTTTTTATTGCACTTTGTGTCTAGGTAGGAGATAATTAATTTAACTGGGAGCGGTCTCCATTATCTCCCAGACACAGAGGCGCCAAGGCGGGCTTCTGTTAGTTTGAATGGAGACCCCATACTGGGAGTCTATGTATAAATTCCTGTGCTTTGTCTCAATATATTCCATTCTACTTAATCCTTCACTAAGTTTCGGCTAGTGTTGGCGGAGACTGCTATACAGATATGTTACTGTATACTGATCCAGGGTGGAAAAGCTACAGAAAGACCCCAGTCAAGCTGGGGCGATTGGGGCAGAAGCGTTCCAGGTTTTCCAATGTGGCTGCTACGAAGCAAGCTTGGCAAAGGTACCCAGTCAGGGTACAAGAAGCTCCATCACAGAGACGATACCTGCCTGGTCAGGTGGAAAAGCTCCACAGAGGCCCCAGTAAGTCTCTGCAACTGGGACTTAAGCGCTCCAGGATCCCTCGCAAGCGGCTAGAAAGCAAACTGGGTGGAGGTACTCTGTCAGAGTACAAGAGCTCCATCACAGCTTTCATATGGGAAAGCACTAGATTAATTGAGATCATCAAGATTGATTATCTCAGCCACGGAGGCGGGGCCAGCCATGGCGGTGGAGAAAAGGTCAATTGAACAAAACTACTGCAAATTTTTGTTGCTGAGCATTTTGGTCAGGAAAGGCAACGTCAGAACATACTGTTATGCATCTAAATTTAGGGTTAATAAAAGTATCTCCCAAGGGAAATAGTGCAATAGAATAAAGCACACACATACAAAGTCAAATTCAATATGAAAGGGACACTATAGTCACCAAAACAACTTTAGCTTAAGGACACAGTTTTGGTGTGTAGAGCATGCCTCTGCAGTCTCAATGCTCAATTCTATGCCAATTAGGAGTTAAAATTACATTGTATATGCACCCTAGTCACACCTCCCTGCATGTGACTTGCACAGCCTTCCTAAACACTTGTGAAAAGTCATCTAATATTTATCATTCCTTTATTGCAAATTCAGTTTAATTTAGTTTTTCTTATCCCCTGCTAGGTTAATAGCTTGCTAGACCCTGCAAGAGCCTCTCGTATGTGATTAAAGTTCAATTTACAGAGAAAGATAAAATTGTTTAAAGTAAATTACATCTGATTGAAAGTGAAACCAGTTTTTTTCATGCAGGCTGTGTCAATCAGAAATGGTGGAGGTGTTGCAAGAGCTGCATAAACAGAAACAAAGTGTTTTAATCCATGAAAGGCTGTGAATTGAGCAGTGAAACTTCAGAAGCATAATCCACACACCAAAACTGCGTCATTAAACTCAAGTTGTTTTGGTGACTATAGTGTCCCTTTCATAATATCTGTGCCTTTAGACAGAAAATGGAAAGACTTCAGGGGTCAATTTAGGGTCTTGATGATTTTAGATTCTAGGTTTCCATATAATTTGAAAACAGATCTATAGGAAAAGTATAGGTTTCTGATGAGATATCTTCTCCAGCTCTGAATGTAATAAGGTCACCTATGGATTCAGAATACATCTGTTTTAACCAGAATTAACATGTAAAAAGCAGATGATCAGCATTTAAAAAAAAAAAAATAAATAAAAAAAATAAAAAAAAATTTGTGAACCAAAAGTCCGTACAACAGCCTGATAAATATAAAATCCTGGAAATATGTTCTTTAAATGTGGGTTTGTATCATGTTTATCACTTAAACCAAAAAATACAAAGATTTTGTTGAATGCACCCAATGCATATACAATAATGTCATAACAGACTGTACAGCAAAAGACACTGCTGTGCTTAGGGTATAAATTCTGTAATGCACATGGAAACAAAGCACTATTGCAGATTAACTTTCTGGACTAGGAAAGGGCTTGTTACAGATACAGCAGTATAACTGGGGCATCATTAGCCAACCAGGAACAAAAGTTAGGAACAGCCTGCCACTCCTTCATTGGCTGAATGTGTCACTGAATTGATCTCAGCCAATGAAGGAGAGGCAGGATCAGCACCCAACCTTTGCAGCTTTACATGACAGAAGTCAAAGCTTGGCAGGGACCAATATAAAAGGGGCAAACATTTATAAAATGGTTTGCCACAATTTCTGAAGAATGGCACCATGGAATGTAGTGGTTATGATGCTTGGAATAATTAACTACAGCAAAGGCAGGACCTTCAAGTGTGAGTGAGTATCTATCATTTTTTTCTTTTTTAAACTTTCTTTCCCTTATTTTAACTTCGTGACAAGAATAAAATGAATGTATTAAACAATTGTTCCCCTGGTAAACATTGCTGGAAAGAAAAGATGCAGCCCAAATGGAAGACAAACTGTAAAAGGTTCTAATGGAATAACTCAGAGGAACTCTGGTCCTTTGAACTCAATTACAGGAAACAAGCACTAAAATGTAATTAGGGCAATTTTCCATTCATAAAATGAGCCAAGGAGACAGAAATTCTATGAGTGAATTCTTTCAAGCTTGTAGTTTATAGGACAGAACAATAGGGATAGAATTGTGGTTATGGTGAGCTGCTGTGTAAGCACTGACCAGCAGAAGAAACAAAACATTCACTCACTGCATTATGTTATTATGTTGCACAAACATTGAAAATGCTGTGTTCTGACAGAGAATCCTTTGTTGAAATCAATTTGTTATTCATTAAACCATGAATTGTGGGGAACTAAAAATTAATTTACATTTTTAGGGCAAAGTAATCAAACTAGAAAAATTCTCCAAGTCAACTTTATTTTCAGTTTAACTTTTTATAGCCTACAATTTGAAATTCAATTTAATTTCCAGACAACTTACACTTTAGTGTGTAACAGATGATAATGTTCATTGCGTTCCAAGTATACAATGTACACTGCAGATTGCAGAAGCATGCTATCAAATGCAATAGGTAAAAATCCTATCAGGTCAAAATAAAAAATAAAAAAAAATTAAAAAATTGGGAAAAAAAAAAACAGACAAAAACACTTTCGTTATATAGGTTGATGGGGATTGACATGAAAGTATAGGAACTGGACAGACAAAAAAAAATATATATATATATATATATATATATTCTTTTTGTTATTTGATTTTATAACAAGAGGTGACAAAGGGACACTCCAGGCAACCAGACCACTTCTGCTTATTGGAGTGGTTTGGGTGCCAACTCCCACCACCCTTAACCCTGCAAGTGTAATTATTGCAGTTTTTATAAACTGCAAAAATTACCATGCAGGGTTAAGTCCTCCTCTAGTGGCTGTCTATTAGATAGAATCCCCATAGGAAAGCATTCAATAATGCTTTCCTATCTGGGGGTCTAATGCACGCACGCGGCCGTTGCTGCGCATGCGAATTAGGTCTCCCCTGCCAGCTGACGTCAGCGGGGAAAGAGCCTGAACCAGTGCCGAGGGACATCAGTGCTGGATTCAGGTAAGTCACTGAAGGGGTTGTAACCCCTTCAGCAACATGGGATGGGGGGTGGCAGAGTCCCTTTAAATAGTTATGAAAGCTAAGGCAGACTCATTTTTTATTATTAGCTGAAGAGATTTCTCTATTTAAAAATTGTATAAATTTACGTGTAAATTATGTAATTATACCTTTAATGTAGAAGTGGCATAAACCTGTGATTTTAAAGTTACACTTCGCTTTATGTATAAAGAGCATGTCCTTTTTTCATATTACAAAAAGTGTAGATTTGAATCGAAACTGGGGCTTTTCTAAACTAACCTCTAGCAATCAGATTGGTCCTGTTATTTCCTGGTTGGTTTGTTCAGTGGTGCTAAACTGGAAAGGCAGCAATGCCTAGAACAGGGGTAGGCAACCTACGGCACTCGAGGTGACTTTGCACGGCACTCAAGGCTGCTAGAGCCAAAACAGGCTCTGTCCTATCAGGAGTCCCAGTGAAACTTCAGATATCTGCTAATACAAAGAGGTGGTGAAGGACAATCCTCAATTTATGAATTGCAGCACATAGAGGAAGTGATCTCAGATCCCTTCCTCCCAGCACTTGTGAATGGGAATCCACACTGTAGTAGAGCAGCTTGCAGCTCCTATACTTGAGCTATACCTGGCCAGCCTGGTTACCACTGGAACCTAGGGAAGCCACCCATACTGCTAGATATACACAGAAATAACCCTCCCCTCATACAAATAATACGAACAGCCGATACACAAACACACACACAATCCGCACAAACGCAACACCACTAACAATCCACATACATGCACACAACCCTGCATGCAGCATCTCACATGCAATAACCCAAACAGCCCCCACACACTATCAAACACACAAGGTGACATTTCCATCCACACACAATTCCACAAGCAGCCCTCATACACAGCCCAGAAAAAAAAAAAAATTGCTACACAAAAGAGTATATATATTTATATAAAGTAGACATCTTAAGCCATTTATCTAAAAGGTATTTTTATACTTTTGATGTAGCCATTTAGTTACCAATCTCTGCTAAATATTGTAGTAAACAGTGGCTTACATACCGTGTTTCTCCGAAAATAAGACCGGGTCTTATATTAATTTTAGTCACAAAAAACACACTAGGGCTTATTTTCAGGGTAGGGCTTATTTATTTACGGTACCGGTATGTACATTGAACCCCCCCCTTTAATTAATCCACCCCCCCTTTAATAAATCCACCCCCCTCTAATTAATCCAGCCCACCCTTTAATTAATTCACCCCCCTTTAATTAATTCACCCCCTCTAATTAATCCAGCCCACCCTTTAATTAATTCACCACCCCTTTAATTTATTCACCCCCTCTAATTAATCCAGCCCACCCTTTAATTAATTCACCCCCCTCTAATTAATCCAGCCCACCCTTTAATTAATTCACCCCCCCTTTAATTAATTCACTCCCCCACCCCCTTTAATTAATTCAATTAATCCCGACATAAAATATCTAGCGGTACTCACATTTCAAAGATTCCTTGCCGAGTCCGACCACTGGGAGCCTCACCGCCCGGAAATGGATCCTTCCGCTGAAGATCCGTGAAGGCAGACTGACGGCGCTGCAAAATGTCGTCATCACGTTGCGCGACGCTCCTCCTACAGCAGAAGAAGGAAGTCTTGCCGCAAAGGTACAATGCCTAGGTCTTATTTTCGGGGTAGGGCTTATATTGCAGCCCACCCCGAAAATCCGACTAGGGCTTATTTTCAGGGTAGGGTTTATTTTCGGGGAAACACGGTATCGCGGTTGCAGCTGCGACCGGGCCAGTCACTCCAGGGGGCCCGGCCACCCTGCGGACCCCTGCGACCAGGTACCCGCCATAATCTTTTGCAGCCCACGCGGCAAACCGCCGTCCAAGGGGTCCATCGGGTGGCCCATGCTGTTAGGGCCACCCGATGGATATGGATTGTAAGGGGGCCCAGTCAGCACTGCGCGCTTTAACCACGCGACCATCAAGCTGAGCCACCACTGGACCCCAGGAAAAGTCACCCTCCTGCACCTAAAAGGTAGGAAACAGGAGGGTGACAAACAGAGAGAGTGTGAGTGTGTCATGGGGAGCCCACGGATCAGTTTCACACTGGGGCCCCATGGATTGTGTGTACGCCACTGGTAGTAAAATTCCAGTTTTTCAGATTTTTAACATGAACACATATAACAAGGCTTTTTAAGTGTGTATTTAAGAAACTTGGTGTGTGATTCCTGTACAGAATTTCATCTTCTGAGTACAACAATATACCCAATGCATGTCGTGGACATTATGCTGTGAAGTGCCTTATAAGAGGCATGACCATTTCGGCTGTTAGTTAGAATTTTGATTAATGGATTTGATGGGCCTATGTCTAATTTTGTGGAACTATAGCAGTACAAATTACGCCTTGAAGGCCTACTATATATGAAAGTAGACACTGGAATAGAACATATTTTGATCCTTATTGTGGGGCAATTTTTCCCCACTCATTTCTACCAATTGTAGTGGGAATAAGCATTTTTTTCCCTGCCTTTTTGACACACAGATTGAGATTTTCTTATATATTTTGTGATCCATGTATGTCCTACAACAGTATAAACCCTAATAGGTCTGTAAACAGTCTTCTGAGTACAGCAATAACTCCATGTGTACCTTATTTTCCGGCGTATAAGACGACCCCCAACTTTTCCAGTTAAAATATAGAGTTTGGGATATACTCGCCGTATAAGACTACCCCTCTTCCAATGCACACCAAATAAAAATTAGCCATGATGTACTGTGAACAGATAGAGCTACACAGCAAGACAATAATTATAATCTGAAATAGCATTTAAAGGCCAGTTATGTGCCAGGCTGTTTGGGCATATAATCCATGCCTGCTGGTCTAGCACACAGGAGACTAATTGCGATATATTCTTTTTACTCCCCCCCCCCAATCCTCCCTACATTCTTCTCACCTCCCCTTCCCTGTGCAGATTGGGTGGCCGAGCTCCTCTTCGTCCTGTCAGTCAGTTATCGGTACAGGAGATTCAGTTACCTGTTCCCGGCCGGACTGAAAGGAAGTGAGCACCCCCGGCAGCCATATAGACCCTATACCCGGCGTATAAGACGACCCCCGACTTTAGAGAAGATTTTCCAGGGTTAAAAAGTCATCTTATACGCCAGAAAATACAGTACCTTTGCCAGATGTACAAGGGGCAAATATGAGCGAGTCATTTCACGTTTTTTTTTTTTTTCTTCCAAACTTTGATTTTTGGCCCATGTCCCATTTTGGAGCATTCTAATGAATGAAAGGAGAGATAAAAATAAAAATAACGAATGATGTGAAAGCAGAAGTGAAACACAGGCTGGATCTGCGAATTACAACAAATGTTTAAAACAGACTCTGGTGTCCAAACAAAGGTTGATCGTGTTGTTTCCATTGGACAATCTCAGGACTCGATCTGGTACTCCTGTATAGGCTGGATCAAATAATTAAATGTGTTGACAGTGTTGCAAACGCTCATTAGCGTGGTTTTGCAGACCTGAACGTAATGCTTGAAGCATCCCAATAGAAATCCTGTGAGGACTACCCACACAAGCATTTGACATTAAGCACATTAAATCCTTGTAGGCAACAAAGTAAAGCACTTGGATATGAGCAGAAGTGTTTCCATTGACTTGAAGAAAAGTGATCAAAGCAGAGAGTTGCCTGTGAAAATATGGTATTCATGATATTTCTAGCATGAGTTGTTTCCATAGAGATGAATGAAGCAACACTATGTGCCTTACTGGTTGCCCCTGTAGCATTGTGTTCATAAATCTGGAATTTTTCACCAGGTATATTAAGCCCAAAAAACAAAATTATTGCACTGATTTTGTTCAGTGGGTAAGTTATCAGGACACCAGAAGTGTTTTTTTTGTTTGACTATCAGCTGAAAGTGGCACTATCATGCCGGAATAACCTTTCTTTAAATCGATTCCTTTTCTTTCTGTCTGTCAGGACCTGCTCTTCATTTCTTCCTGTCTGCTCTAGTTTCTTTAAAAACAAACAGAAGACAAAAGTAGGGACCAGCAGAGGAGCAAAGTGTGCTTCATTTCCGGTGGTCAGATCAATTTTCCCACAATTCTTCACCTTTGATTCGTGATGCTTCCTGCCAGTATTCTCAGACGTCCTGTCACTTAGAACGCCAGCGAAACTACCGTATTCGGGACTTTGTTCGGATCGCCTGCAATTTAGAGCCGCTTAGTAGATAACTCCCTAATTCTCACAGTATTAGATTTAAAGATTACCTAGTATTAGTAAAAAAATAAAAAAATAAAAAAAGTGTCCCCCCTCCCGAGCCAATGCGGGTATTAAACTGAACGGGGTAGCTATTGCCCTCGGGCCCCACACCCATAAGCAGCGGGTGGGAACCCTAAATTATAATAAGGGGGGGGACCTATTGTCCGTCCTCCCCTCCATAAAGAGAGGGTGGGGGAAACCTACGGTCCTCCACCGGACCCCACCTCTGAGCGGCAGATTGGGGCCCTAATTCAGAATAAGGGGGACGACAATTACACTACTGTCCTCCCCCGTCCCTACACCTGAGCAGCGGGCGGGGGCCCTAAGCAATAATAAGGGGGGGACACACAACCTATTTCCCTCCCCCAGAGCAGCAGGTGGAGGCCCTAAATGAAAAATGTTAACCCCCCCCTAATCACCCCTCCAACCCAAAAAAAAATAAAAAAAAATCCATCTTCACCCATGGAGGGCACCACGCAGACTGAGCTCTGCAGGGCGGGAAAAGGCTTATAAAGCCTTCCCACGTCCTGCAATTAGGCTCAGAGTGCTCTGATTGGTTGGTTTAAGCCAACCATAGTGCTCTGACAGGTAAAAGAAGAGACTGACACATAAGTCTCTACATTTACCCGTCACAGCATTCTGACTGGTTGGCTTGAAATCCAACCAGAGTGCTCTGTGTCATTTTACACAGCGTGGGAAAGTTCTTTGGAATCTTCCCATGCTGTGTAATTTGACTCATAACTCTGATTGGTTGTTTGATAGCAACCAGAGTGTTATGAGTCAAATACTCATGGGTGGGGGCAGGACAATAATCCCCCCTCCCCATTTTCATTTAGGGCCCCCACCCGCCACTCATGGGTGGGTGCTGGCAGGGGTGGATAGGTCCCCCGCTCAGTTTAATAGCCCCCACTCTCACGGCATGGGTGGGGGCTCAGGAGGGGGACATTAGGATTTTTGGGGGGATTAAACAGGCTGCTCACTGTTTACTAGACATGCCCCTACTCGCAGCAAAGCAAGTAGGGGCAGAGATTACCAATACTAAGTAATCTTTACTTAGTATTAGTATATTTGGCTCAAAGACAAATTTAGGTCTTTCAGCCTTTTGGTAGATAGCTACCTAATACCGTGGGAATAAGGGAGTTATCTACTAAGCGGCTGCAAGATGCAGCCGCGGCACAAATCAGATCGGAGTTTAATTAATTCAAATGAAATTCCGATTGGAACAAAGTCCCGAATTGCGTCCGAACACGAGAAACTGTTCTCATTCTGTTAGACAGAACGCCGGCAAAACTAACATTTCATCCTAAGTGACAGGACGTTCTGGAATACTGACCGGAAGCATCGCAAGATCACGTATCAAAGGTGAGAATTGTGGGAAAATTGCTCTGACTACCGGAAATGAAGCACACTTTGCTCCTCCACTGGTCATAGCTAGTCAGGTGTAGGACACCTCCATAAGACAAAGTAGTCCCTACTTGAGTGCTGGGTCCTAGTATTTCCATAGTATTGTTGGTCTGGCACTCTCAAATGAAGACCAAATTTTGTACATTTTAAGTAAGTGTGGCTGGATACTTAGAGTTTGCTTAGTAAACTGGTTGATGTCAACTTGGCAGTAACTCCATTCAGCTGACAAATGGAATTTTTTCATACTGTATCCTCAGGTCACGAGTCGTCGGACTGTGCTACTTTCTGACTTCCTGGGGAGAGTTCACCGCAGAAGTTACAAATCCTGGTGATATGCAGCAAATACAGGAATTTTAAAGTTGATTTGTTATGGAGTTTTTTTTTTTTTTTTTTACATGCATTACGAGCAGCCCTTCTTAAAAGGAACACTACAGTGGTTATTGCAACACACAGCCCGGTCACCTAGGACTGGCACATGTCTCCCAACCACCACCTTCTCCTTAAAGAACTATATCACTAAAATTTCTCCTCTCCAGCCGGTGCCTCCAAGCTCAGCGTTCCTTTTCCCCAGCCAAGGAGCACACAGAAGCTGGTCTGGAATTCTGAGCCAGACCGGAGGATGGTCGCAGCCCTTTAAAAACTTTCACCTTCCACCTATTTAGAGATAGACATCTCTAATCTGAGCGCTTCTTGGACAGATTGGGCACTCAGAGGTGAGCTTCTCGTAGATGGCCACACGGTAACCATGTGTTTTTACGGTTTGTTAGCCAGTGTCAGTTTAGGCACAGATACCAACGCGCTGGGTATGTTGCAATTCTTCTGTTCTCCCTGGGGACCTCGGTATCAAATGTGACCATGTGACAAAGTCAGTTCTTCACCAAGTCTTGACTAATGTTTAAGTGATACAGCGATATACAGCAGCAGAAGGCTTTAATCACTCTTGGCTATAAACACACAGGGGAAAGGGGACTAACTTCCCGGTGAGAACCATTACTAATGAGTATACTACCACGGTTATGCAACCAGGAGAGCCATGACTCCCCCCTATTGTGAGGAGCCAAACAGTTTTAAATCAGTTTGACTTCTTACCTCGAGTTTGCTGGGCAACGCTCCCCACCTCCACTTCCTATAGAGAGCCAGAAGCTCTCTATAGGAGCTAAATAGTTTTAGTGCTTAGCTAACTGGGTGAGAGCAATCAGCTTACACTCTCATCCAATAAGCTAGACCTGCAGGGCTTAGCTCAGGAGAGTCAACAGGAGCTTCAGTTAGATAAAAATTTGTAAAAGTGGGGAGCAACGCTTAGAGGACCAAAGGTAGGAAATCAGACTATTCTAAAACTTTCAAAAGGAAGAGTGTCAAGGCACTCCTGACACCTGTAGGGATTGAAGGGCTCCTTCAAAGTAAAGAAATCATTGTTTGATCCCTAAAATACTAGCGCTGTAAAATAAAGTTATGTAATACTGGGCCATGCAAATATGACTTCATCTTTAAGACATTGTATTGGAGCCTCTTGTACTGGAATACATCATATCCCTGTGTTATTCAAGCTAAACGTTGTTGCTAAATAATCCTTGTAACTTGAAGCCAAGATGAATGCACTATGTAAAACTTTTGAGAACTCCATGTGAAACAAATACAATTGATAAATAATTGGAGTCCTTGAAACATAATTAAACTAAGTGTCACTAACCTTTAGTAATAATTAATGCTTAGTACAAGTTTGCCATATGGCAGAAGATCATATTCTCATGTGTCTTGTTGGCAGCTAAAAAGGGAGTGAACAAGTGTGAGCGAAAGAGAGAAAGGTTCCAGATTGCTTACATGATTGTCAAATAGTTATCTAGCAGCAAACTATATTAATAATGGTATTGTAGAAATAGCTGTAAACAAAACTATATTCTTAAAACCAAATTCCATTTTATGTTATGTTCTTTTTGCCTGGTCTCCACCGTTACTCCTATTTATAGAGAATATAGAGTCCCAAGCCAAACAAATGCAGTAAAGTGTGCTCAAATGAGTTTTTACACCTAATATTTAGTGTTGTGAAAACTCACAAACTGAAGGAGCATACCATTAAAAAGCCCCAACAAGATGCAAACTTGCTCCATCCACTGAAATGCTAATCAGCATATGGTTGCATAGGCACCAGAACAACCACAGCTTAATGGACCAGTTTGGACACCATAACAACTTCATCACAATTACGTTATGGTTTTAGGAGGTCCCTGGTGTGTGCTCACCTTAAGGTATTAAACTGTTCTTTAACAGTTTTACCCCAAAGTCTGTTCCCGTGCCACATCTACTTGCTCTGCTGACCTTCCATTTTATCAAAAATCAGGAAATCGGAAGGGTCTTGCAGAATCGGGCAGCGGAGCTGCTGATTAGCAGAGAGCGAGAGATTCCCTATTCATAAAATTGGCTTGAAAAGAAACTTACCTTTTTCAAGACAGTTTTATTAATGGGGAGATACCGTCGCCCTGAGAAAAAGGTAATTTAAAAGGACAGCTATAGTGTCAGCTACACAAAAATGTATTCCTGACCCTGTAGTGTTAAAACACATCATCTATCCCCCCCCGACCTCCCTAAATATAGTAAAATCTTACCTTCATCCCAGTCTGCTACTGCTAGTTCTGTCCCTTATCTGACTGCTTAGCTGACATCAGCAGAAGTGTTGATCTAAACCAATCACAATGCTTTCCAAAAGGAGGCAGATCAGGGGCAGAGCCAACACAGCCCTGGCAAATCAGCATTTCCTTATAGACATGCATTGAATTGATGCAGTTCTATGAGGAAAGATCAGGGTCTTCATGCAGAGGATGGAGACACCGTGTCAGTAGCACACACTGTGCACCACCTCCATAGAAAGCACCTCTAGTAGCCATCTGATGAGTTGCCAGTGGGGGTATCCCAAGGATGTAATGTAAACATTGCCTTTTCTCTGAAAAGTCCTTCCCCTTTCTACTAAACCCCAGTCCTCCCCCTCTAGCCAACAAGCAGACTCTACTCATATGCCGCTGCCAGTATGCGACTCCGGCCTCTGGTTTAACCCGAATGGCGCAGTCCGCACCATGTGCCAAAGCGGATCCTCCCGCTGCTTCTTGAAACCCTGTGATAGTGGAGCACATCAACGTCATGTCGGAATGTGATGTGGCGTTGCGTGCCTTCATGCACCTCCAGGTACTCCACTGTCAAGCCGCGGCCATCGCAACACACACACTTACTGACCGACACACACACAATTTCCTGTTGTCCAGTGGTGATCTATTTGGAGCTCAGTCTTCCTGCTCCTCACTGCTCCTTTGCGTGCAGTTTAGTGATGCCAGGTGCTGGAATATGATGTCATATTCCGGCACCATTTCAGAAGGCATGCGCGAGGGAGCAGTGAGGAGCAGGAAGACTGAGTTCCCTCGCTGCTGCCAGTGACCGCTCCTCCCCAGCCAGGTAAGTATTAGCAGAGTAGGCACCTGCAATGTTAAAAAAGCAGGTGCCTACTCTGCTTTAACAAGAAGCATGTACTTGCGGCTCGCTGGGCCGCAAAGAGGTCCATTGTGGGCCACGAGTTTGACATGCTTGTTGTAACAGGACATCTGCATAGTGTCTGACTGTCATTGCGGTCAGCCCTGTACTCGCATTGTGACCACAGGCTGAAATGTTATGTCACCTCATCTCAGCCATGTATAAGTTCTGCTCACATGGTGGACAGTAGTTCAGCATATTTGAAGGTGGGAAAAATATTACTCAAAATAAATGTAAAAAAAAAAATCAATCAAAAAAAAAAAAATATCATTTATGGAAAGGATTTGGTTTGCTTTGATTTTCCCGACTCCTCCAGGTTCTTTAGAGTGGTAATGTTTGCTACTGAAAGACTTGTTGGGGCACCCATACACCAGGTACTCTGCCAAGGCTTGGCACATAGCACACAACTTGAAAATAACATTGTCACAGCTCAGATGGAAATACATGTTCTGTTGGTTTGCTATTCTGTTCCATATTCACAGGGAGCTGTATGTCTGTCTTCTGCACAAATTGACTTCTAGTCAGTTTTTGCAATGAACAAGCATTAAAGGGAGCCTATGGTCCCAAAAATAACCCTTTTTGGACGGCTTAATATATAAAAAAAAAAAAGATTAGTTATTTCTGTTACTTCTTTCCTGCAGCTGCATGCTCTGCCTTCAAAGACATCAGCATGCCAGCTGACATTTCCACAATCTGCTCTGGTCCAATGCTCCTTACAGAGAAGCAATGCTTTGGAAATAGGAATATGTGGTAGGTGCTACGCTCCTCCAATCAAATGCTGTTTAAATTAATTCCAAGACCAAGTTTCACTCAAGGAAACCGGAACACTAGATGTTTATTTAATCCTGCAATGTAAACACTGCAGTTTCTACAAATATGACTGGACCACTGCACCCAGACCACTGAGATTAAGTAGTATGGGTAACTGATTATTTGCATGCCTTTAGGATGCCAGAACATCTCGGGATCTACCTTTTGTGTACCCTGCTTTAATGGTTCTTTAAAAGGCAAAATTTGTATGCCTAACTCTATAGGGTCCCTCCTAACTCTAGATGGGGACCTACCCCAAAAAACAAAAATATCCTATGGAATCAATGTTTTCATATATGGCTTCCATGTAACATGACCAAGTTTTACTCTGCATGGCCCATGGAAGCACCACTAGTGGCTGCCAGCATGACAGCCATTAGAGGAGTTAACCCTGCAATGTAAACTAGCTCATTGAGACAAAGTGGTCTAGGTTACAATAATGTACAGTTAAGTTACCAACAGAAAATATATATTGCCACGTGTCCAGTGCAGCTGAACTTACTATAGCGCTCCGTGAGGTAGCTCTGACAAATGGTCTTTGCCCCTTTCCTACAAGATTTTAAAGGTCTTAAAAAAAAAAAAAATTAAAAAAAAAAATTAAAAAAAAAAAAACACAGACTTCCTGTGAGCATTATTTATATAGGACCAGAAGAGATACTATGTCCACGTTTAAGGAGAGTGGAATGCTGGAAGTTAGTGTAACCAAGGAAATCTCTGTAACAGTAACTGTTCCCAAAAGTGGGACACCAGGGAACTAAGACAGGACGTGAAAATCAGAACGGTCACCCCAAATTCAGGACATTTAGAAGCATGAACAAGTCAGTGATTTGAAGTGGTCATGGTACCTGTAATCTGTATATGCAGCGTTTCGCTATGGAATGTTGTGCATACAGGAGTTTAGCCAGTTTGCTACCAGATCTGTGACTTCTCCTCTGGCAGCATCACTGGAGTACCATTAGCCAACCCAGAACAAGAACTGGGCTGGTTAAGATTAAAGGAAAACTATAGTCACCTAAATTACTGGAAAAAAATAAAATAAATTCACACAGAAAGCATTTCAGCAAGCTTTAAGAGGTCTGGAGTGTCCCTTTAATGGACAATCTACTCACCTGAACGAACAGATTAAATGTTCTAATCGTTGCAGGACCAACGTTTTGCATCTTCACATTGCATGAAGGCTGAGCTAATTAGACAATGCATTGGGGACACATTAGAATGGCTGAGATCATAAGTCACTGATGATCCCAGCCAGAGCAAAGTTGGTGTGGCAAGGAACTACAGGTAAGTAAAATGGCTTTAGAAAAAGGCCCAGTAAGCTAAGAAGGTTTGGAAAGAGTAACATGGTTTGGGTTTCTAAAGTTAAAGTGTTCCTTTAAGAAAAGAAAACAAAACCAACATCAACACCATAATTCAGAAACTGGTAGGGCTGAGAATAACAAAGAAAAAAAAAAAAAAGAAAAAAATAGAATAAATTAATAACCCCCACACATCAGTTATACACTCCAACTTCACTGTGAAATAGGTTCTGCCTGGTGCTCAGCAACACTTTAATAATGGATCCAAATCGTGCCAGCAGTCTAGGTCTTGCAAAAAGAATACTCTTCATTATAAATCCAAACGATAGTCAATGTTTTATTTCATCTTGTGAACGGTCATTTTTATGTCCTGATGAAAGTTCACATAATGAACTGAAACATTGATTGTTGTTTAGTTTTATAATAAAGAAGAGTTAGTGTGACAAGAAAATGATTTGTCACCAGTACAGAACTAGGCTTTAAGGGATGGCACAAGACCCTATATTGCTGGTAAGATAGCAGGGGTATTAAGTGCCCCAAGTCACTTACCTTTTGGAGGTGGACTTTCTAAGGGTTCTTCAATAGCTTCAGTAGAGCAGCGACCGGTCCAAGATGGCGCCCGCATTCCTCGACGCTCAGCCCACAATACCATAGACGTGCGGCGTCTATGTGTTCTATGTCTATGATTCTAACACTGACATGTTGGCAATGAAGTCAGTGTGTTTCCAAGCAGAGCAAATGAAAACAGAGTACAGCAAGCATGTCAAACTTGCGGCCCTCAATGAATATACTTGTGGCCCGCCTGCCCTGGGGCAGTTTTGTGCTGTGGCTGTGACCAGCTGCAAGACAAGAAAGATATTTCCTGTCTGATTCTTGCCTTCCCTTCCACAGCCACAAGAGGGCAGCGTGCCTGTCTGCCTGCAAAACAACCCCCCCTCCCCTCCCTTCCCTCCTGCTCGCAGTGCCCGAGGAGCATCTGGAACTGGAGGACAGGCGTCTCATCTTAAAGGTTGGAGAAGAGGTGCTTGGGGGACCTTCCTGTGTAGTGTCTTAATTTGGGGAGGGCAGGGTGTCAATTTGAGGGAGTGAGGGGGCCAGTCAGTGTATTAAATTTAGGAAGGGAGGGGGCCAGTGTATTATTTTGAGGGAAGGTTTAGTGCTTTCATTTTGGGAAGTAGGTGGGTGGGGGCGGGGTATTAGAGTGGTGATGGGGGGTAGTGCATTAGAGTGGTGGAAGAGGGGTCAGTGTGTTAAATTGGAGGGGAAGGCAATGTATTAAATTAGGGTAGGGAGTGGGGCAGTGTATTCAATTAGAGTGGAGTGAGGAGGAGCAGTGTATTAGCTTGAGTGGAGGCGGCAATGTATTGGATTTGTGGGCAGTGCATTAGAATGGAGGGAAAAGGCAGTGTGTTGGATTGGGTCTGCATGAAGGCGCTGAATGCTCCCCATGGAGATGCTGATTAACTGCGTAGCTCTTTGCCACACATGCCTAATAGCCTCCCAATGGGAAAGCATTGGAGTGGCTAGGATCATCAAGTTTGATGATCTCAGCCAAAGTGAAGAACACACTCATAGAAATTCAAAAACAACAAGATAACGTAATTTGGTTGTTTTTTTTTTTGTTTTTGTTTTTTTTTTTACAGCTGTGCAACAGCATGCATTCACCATTTCAGTCCCATTACCAAAAACTTTTCTTAATATGTCAAGGTAGTTGGACTGAAACACTGGTTATATGCAAATGCATGTCTCCTTCAAATAAATTTGCTCTTTTGTTTACTTTGAAGCCCTACGAGCATTGAGGACGTCCAGTGTCAGTTAGGCAACTTTTTTTATACTGAACTTTTCTAAATAAACCTACGTTTCTATTAAAACTGAAGTTTTCATTTTTTTTTTTTTTAAACCTTGTTTATTTGGCCAGTGTTAACCCTTGAGTTTGACATGCTTGGATACAGACTGTGGGTGAGATGGGAGAGGTGGGTGAGATGCAGACATTGCAGCACTGGACCAAATATAACTAATGTTAGTATCTAAATGATAAATTATGCATTATTTGCTAGGCTCATTTCAGTTAAAGTGAACCCATAATTCGCATTACACCAAATAATAAAACATTGAAAATCCCCTATGATTTGAGTCAAGGGTTAGCAATAGTGTAAAATGAGCAGTCACTTCCCTGATAGTGAGACAGTTTATCTTTGATTCACTCTCTGCAATATATGCTTACGTCGAAAAATGTATTTAATTCTTAGACATATGAAGCATTTTAGCTAAGAAAACTAATAGGTAAATCTATTTTGTTTTTTTCCCCTTTAGCTGCAAGAGTGTCAAAATAAGACACAAACTAGTTTTTATTTTCCCCCCCATTAATATTTAAATGTTCTAATATGCTTGTATATGGGGCATCAGAAGAAAGCTCTGTCCATTAAATGATATATAATATGTACACGTGCATTTAAACAAAATAAAGCATTAAAAGTGGCTCTGTCACTTTGCAATAATTTTTTTTGCCCTTCTATTTCGCTTTTAACTTTCGTTTTTTTCTTTGCTATAAATTTAAAAAAAAAAAAAAAACTACTACTTTTTCTTACAGAGAGTATGAGCTTTGCTTAAAGGGGCTCTATCATTTCTCGAATATCTGCATATTTTGAGCCCCTTTAAGCTCTGTCCACTGACAAAATTAGCAAAGTTTCATTGCAGTTGCTATGGTAATTAATCTACAATCTAAATCAAAAGAATGCCAAAGAAGGGCAAATTGCAGATGTCTTGGATAGAGAAGAACAAAATGGAGGCACCCAGGTTATTTGAGATCTGGCACAAGGAATAAAGATAAATACAAATAGAGTCAAGCAACAATAGAGGAGCGTAACTATTAAGATACAAAAAGGTATAAGGAAAGGAAAAATGAAAGAGAAAATACCATATTACACAGCCACTTCAAATTATAGTGACAAATTATATCAAAAGCAGAGGTGTCTGGGAAGTTTGCATAATTTGCCAAGACGCTCAATGGTGACATTGCCCTTTTACATGCAGGGTTAAGACAGCCTCTCATGGATGTGGGATCAACCAGGTATCTATTCTAACGGTAGTCCAATTCCTTTCCAACAACTGCAGTCTATTTATTCTCTTGCTTCAGGCACAGTGTTTACGTACTTGGGAGTAAAAAAAAAAAAAACCCATCTACAAAACAAATCTTAGCACATAATGGCACCACTGATTTCTTAGAGAACCACAACCCTCAGAAGAGAATATCCGTTCACTTAAAAGTCTTAGTATTTATGACACCTTTGTCAAAGAGCCTCCAATAAAGAAATGGGAACTGGACTTTAAAAAATTTGAGATCCAAACTTGGAAACAGAGTATTAAATGGGTCAAACACAGTACACACTGTGTACATGTGTTTGAGCTTTATTATAAAGTTTTATACAGTGTTATATGGTTCCAACAAAATTAAATCTATAGTGTTCATTCTGACCAATATTGGAGATGCAAAAACGCCAAAGGATCCAATTTCCATATTTGGTGCGCATGCTCTGGGTTAGACACTAAAAAAATAACTTCAAAAGACTCCTCTTGGAAATCTCAATGAATGAGTTCTCTTTGACCCCACAGTTCCTTCTCCTCCATCTAGACTTTCCTCAATTGGAGAAACTCCTAATTTATTCAATGATTCATAGTATGCTGGCAGTAAAAATATGCATAGCGAGAAATTGGAAAAAGCAAGGGCATCAAAACGGAAATAAACCAAATATATTACCAATGCTCAATGGAGAAAGGTTACTATTTAATAACCAACCGAATTTATTTATAAAAATATGGGATAAAAGGCAAACATCTCCCTATGCAAATACGAGCTAGGATTTCCAAATAAGACCACCAAAGCAGAACGCCAAACACCAAATATTTGTTAATATAAATGATTAATAGAAATTGAAGGTTCAAAAATCGCTATAGGAAAACAATGACAATACTTTCCAATAGGGAAGGTCTAATAAGCATGGGTGAGGTTCCCTCATCACTGTGACGATGCTGGAGGAGAGCAATCCGGCACAGATGGGCCTTGGCGCTGGAAATCAAGGTTTTTGAGCTTGTGAGGGATGGAAAACCTAAAACGTCTAGGGATAGAGAGAAAAATACTTCACCGAAAATTGGACATAAAAGATTGGTAAACTCAATAGCTCCTTTGGCTTCCAATATCATTTATATGCGGATGACATGTCTCTGACTGCCTCTCTGCCATTTCTAACTGGATGGCTGCCCACTTCCTTAAAACTTAACCAAAACTGAAATTCTGGTCTTTCCTCCCTCAAGTGTTGCTACTCCTGTGTCTGTCTCCCTAAAAGTCATCGGTGCTACCATCAGCTCCACCACAAAGGCTCGCTGGCTAGGTGTTTTCTTTGACTCCGGCCTCTCCTTCACACCTCATGTTCAGTCTACTGCCAAATCCTGCCGCTTCCATCTCAAAAACATTTCTCCCCTCACTGAGAGTAGGAGTGTCTAGACTATTAGCAGGACCAACCTGAAGACTCCCTGGAACTCCGGCTGGAGATTTCATGGTCAAAATATTGGACCTCCATTTTCCCCACTTTCCCAGCATCGCAGAAGAGTGCTTTTTGGAGGGAAACTTATGTAAATGGAAGTGAACAATTGCTCCCTGAAATCATCAGGGAACTCCCATTTCCCACGAAGATAAGGCGCCAGATAAATCACAGAGGATTTAACCCAACCGCATGGAACTCTTTTCAGCAAGACTATGGTAGCGGTCGGGCAAAACTTTGACTGTGTGGCGTTTAGACAATTATGCATGAATCAGAGCGCTATTTTGCCAGAATGGACACTCTGATCTCCCCTTTAAAATTGTGTATTATATGTGAGGGTACATTAATGTTTAAAGGAGGTTTTGGGGGTATTTCTGTGTTGCGCTGTCTGTATCTGGGTGATAATTTGTTTACCATTATTAAGTCAATTATCTAAATGTCTGGGCGTGATTAAGTGCCTCAGGACCTGGGAAAATTTACAGCGGAGGAACCACTCTGGGTACAGGGGCTCTGTTACAACTCTGTTCAGTAGTGTGGTCATCAGGGTATAATAGTTGGGTTGATACACTGGGTGCCCCCTGCCGCTTTCGATCCTTCGGCCATCGTAAAATTAAAAAAATCGGCCGCTTCTTCCACAGTCAGGGGCTTTTGGTCCCTGACCCAGTCTTGAATAACTGTGGACGTATGATCGAACAATTGTTCTAACAGTAACAGCTGCAAGGCGTCATTCAAGTTGGTTGCCCTGCATCCAATTTTGGATGGCTCAATGTATACGAAAAGGCCAGTCGGCAGAAGAGTAGGCTTCATGGGGTAACCGCATTCCTGGCTAGCAGTGTCTCTTTGACCTGCTTGTAATTGTGGATGTCCGAGTCTGGTACAGCCCAGTATGCTTCTGCTGCTCTACCCGACAATTTGCTGCAAAGGATGGCAGCCCTGTTAGCCTTGTCCAGGCCCTCGAAAGCACACTGGCATTCAAAAGTCCTGCAAATAATTGGCAATGTCCATCTCACAATCCATGCATGTTTTGAAAGCGGCATCGTTTAGCTTCCATGGTTGTCCAGTCGTGGATCCTTGTAGGGAGGTTGTATCCCCCCATTGCGATCAGAATTTTGACTTACGGGCTCTGTACCTCCGTTGCTTGTGTCATTATCTGCACAATGATGTCCTTGCGATGTCAGTGATGGTAGTTACACATGACTGTACAAATATGTGTAGACTGCACAGATGCCATTAAGTTCTTAGTTTCCTTCTTTGGCACACAGTGTCAAACCCGCTGTAGTTCACAGGTGCAGTCAACTGCTAGGGTAAACAGTGTGCACAGTTCACAAGTCTGAGAATTATGTAAATCCAGTTAAAAACTCCTTATGTGATAAACTACGTATCCCATAAACTCCTGTTGGATAGAGTTGTATTGAAGGTCAGATCCCACAGACCACAATGAGAGGCTCCGGATTGGAAGTATCCCCTTGGTCTGTGATGACGTTATTGCTGCTACTTGCCTGTGCAATAGAAGAGCAGCTGCAGCAAATGTATAAATAAATAAATAATAATATACAAAGCAACATCCTACATTGCCTACTAATTGGCTGTGCACAAAAAAATTGCAAGTTTATTTGAAAGAAGACATTATCTAGCTGGCATGTGAAGTTTCAACAAAGCAGAAATACATTGTGTACACCCGATTACACCACTGTTACATTATTGCATACAATAAATAAAAAAATAAAAATAAAAAATTGCCTAAAAAGCTTTTCATTTTTACTTTCAATACAAGTCCACCAAGAAGAACAAAAAAACCATAGCGCCCAGTAAATGCAAAATTAAAACATGACACTGTCCCAATCATAATATCCATATTAAATATAATCTACTGACCAATGTCAAGAAATCAATTAAAAATCGGGCAGTGTAGGTAGGTTGCTCTATTGCAGATTGTATATATTCAAAGTGAATTTCCCATTTTTGACAAAAAAAGAGAAAAACCTGAAAACATTAAGACATTAAGAATTGTTCACAATTTAGCTACTGAGCACTATGATTTGAAAATCACTGTGTAATTCCTAGCAAATCAGTTTCGTGAATAACCCTGCTTGACTCAGACAAACAACCTAACCTTTGCTTTCAACAAGTTAGAGTTCAAGGCTGTAACAGATGCCTAAGGGGGTATCCCTAGAGCAGTTTGAATGTTTTCGATAAATACCTTGATATACTGTTTAACAGGATTTATTTTTTTGAGCTTGCTCTTATGGTGAAACATGATTTTCACCAAAAGAAACACTAAATGTTCATTGGTCACAAAACATTACAGTATTTTTATACATTAAGATGTGAAAAATCTTGCTTAGTTTCAGACAATGGAAGAGAGCTGGTAGTCCAAAAAAAAAAAAAGTTACAAGTTCACGTGATGGATCAAAGACAATGCAGCATGTGTTTTGCCTTCAGATGGCCTATATTTCTGATATTCGCAGTAGTATAAAAGAAACGGACAAAACAAATCTTATAATATAAATCATGAAAAATGTTAGACAAGAAACTGTGAAGACAAAAAAAAAAAAAATATCAAAGTGTGAAAAACAATCAAATGTCAAGAAAGCTTTGTAAAAATTGAAAATATATAAAACCATAAAAGAAAACACAAAGCATCCAACCCTTCTGGGGTAAAGCAAATACTAGTTGGGGGGGGGGGGGGGAAATCAATCAGTAGCACACACTAAATGCCTGACATGCATCCCATAACAGTGTTCGAAGAAGAAAAAAAAAAAAAAAAAAAAACACTGTTATCATAGCAACAATACAGACAAACAGTCATACTTGCTGCAGTTGCATCGTGCACACTGTAGGGGGCTTTTGTGCATATTGGAGCCTGTGTTTTTGTTAAATGGGAGGATTTAAATGTCCTCACAGCCTTGTTGTCAATCACCAGCACTCCTTACAATCACAACCGCCTCCTCCGGCGTCTGAGCAAATAATCTAGGCTGATACTTGAAAACAATGCTAAGAACCCGGAGAACAAGGCAATAGACCGAAATAAAAATGTTAAAAATAAATAAATTTTAAAAATAGTATTATATATAAAAAAAAAAAATAGAAATAATCAACTGCACCCTCAAACATCTTTGGTGTTTAACCAAGAAAAACGTGTTATGCAAAACAGAAAAAAAAAAAAAAAGGAAAGCCTCTGGAAGAACAGTAGGAAACTGCTTCCTTTGTTTAGGTATCCCTGAAAGGAACCAGACTCCTCACGGGACCTCATCATAATTTGGGCATTTTAATGTCGCATGGGGACAGCAGATCAGAGTCCCACAAAATAGGCATTTGCCAGCCACGATCTCATTTCAAAGCACAAGTGGCTCACTCGCTTATCAAGAGGTGAAATTAGGACAGTTATGTCTAGATACTATGGCTTCTGGCATTAACTATTGCAATGCAGGGGTACTGCACACATAAAGCACTGAAATATCTCAATGCCATCCACAGAAAGAGTACAATAAGCATTATTGCAGGTTACCAATTCTGTAGTCGTAACATAGACAGGAAATACGCATGACGTAACAGGCACTAGGAAAATGTCACAGGGGGTGCTGCTAAACTACAAAATAAAATGCTCACGTGAAACAAAGTGAAAGAATGACAGAATACATAGGACACCGATAAAGAGAGAAAAAAAAAATTCTCATTGTTACAAGAAGCCCGCAGTGTGAAAGCATCAAATCACGACCATGACACAACACAAATCCGGGTCCTTTTTATTAAGGACCTAGGCACAAACTGTTCTTATCAATATGTCTGGATTTCAGGACCTCCCCAACTCTAATTATCTCAACATAAACAGCCTGGCACAATCACGTGGCTACAGCCAGGGGAGAAATATTCCCTTTACCCAAAACATAGTATTCGAGAAAGAGGAGTTACATTGCACACATTTAGTCTTTGCATTATATAGTAATTAGCAAGTGATGGTGGTTTCTATACCAATTTGGGGGCATCTTCAGCACACTTACATGCACCCATCTGAATGTCAGTTCACAAGATCAGTTTTGTACATACAATCATCTATCATTAAAATTGGACTAGAATCCAACTACTTTGTAACAATCACAACATTATACTAGAACATTACCTGAGCACCAAAACAAACCTACTCAGGAGTGCTTTGGGGGAGTCAGTTGACTTCCGTGTAACAGAAAGGGGCTCTATGAAGCTGTATTTATTAATCCATAAGATACATTTTCCAGTTACTAAGTAAGATTTCCTGCACCCCTGTGACTTCCTGCACCCCCAAATCTCATTTATTTTTTTTATTTTTTTGGAGTAACTATCCATCACATAGGAGTACATCAGTACCCCTAAATATAGGAGGTCTCCATCAATTTGCTTTTGTTTTGCTTTTTAAACTTTGGCTCTTGCAAACGACAGATTATTTTGAGGTACAATATCCACATACCTTACTATTATTACTAATGAAATACGACATCTGTGCCCTTTCCATATTCTTTAGAGTGACCTTAACATGCCTTAAACAATTATTAGCTTGGGACTCCCATTGCAGGTCATCACATTTATAATAAAACTGGCAACACAACCATGTTTGGCCTGGGAGACTTTCTGTCATCAGAAGTGTCAAAGGCATTTTTAGTGACCCCCAGTATAACTGTTTGTAATGTGTCCAGAGGAAAGCTGTACCCCTGAACCTGTCATTAGTGATTAAGGATCCCATGCACACCAACAGACAGTGCTGTGCACTCTTTGGGGTTTCCCTATTAATCTCTGCCACCTGTCCCTGACACCACAACCACTTCTATACTACGCCTTCAGTAAGACTCCCATCACCTAGAGCAGCCAGCAAGGGCCCTGGCTCCCCCGATTACCTCAGACCACCTTATTGTTATTATCACCCCCTTCCCTATCCCAGCTGTGACTCTTCACAACCCTACACCCCAAAATCCCAAGGTGAGGCCCCAAGGCGCCCCTAACCTGCTGTGGAACCAGTCCTTGCAGATGTCGCATTCGATCATGAACCGGCTCACATCGTAGGGCTGCCGGCAGACACAGTAGACGGGAGCCGCTCCGGCCATCTTTAAAATCCACTCTAAGACATCACACACACACAGAGCGGGGGATGGGGAGCATTGCGCATGCGCGGACCTATAATTGCCCTATCCCATCACGCATGCGCAAGCTGCCCGCACGCAAACCTTCCCCTGGCTCGAATGTACACACAACTCTTCCCTAGTTCCTGCTTTCTCATTGGACGGGACAATCGGTTACCGGGGAGGAGCTATGAGGAGAGCTTCGGAAATCTGACGGCAAGAGCCGAAAGGTGACGGAACGTTCCGAACAGAGTCGAGTTTCTAGGCATGGAATAAGATATGTCCTGTGTTAAACTGTTCACGTGCCGGATATCGTGGTAGATGGTTTGTTAAAACTTTCATTCCCAAACTTTAAAAAAAAATACTAAGAATTCAATATGGTGTGGCTGAAAATTATATTTTGCCATACACGATATGGCTATATAGGATTAGGCTCTGTCCTATAAGAAATACTGCAGAGTAAATAAAATTCCTGCCAAGCTTGTGATTTGTGACTGTAGATATGTCACTGTATCTTACTGGTTAATTGTTTTATAAGCGGATAACTGAAGTGCATTGTAAACCGAATAGCAAATTTTAAGGCCTAAATAGAAGAGTTGCAATTATAATTATTTATATAGTGCCAACATATTCTGCAGCGCTGAGACAAGCAAAATATGTTTGACGTATGAGAAGAGTTGGTGAAGTGCTCCCTGTCCAAACGAGCTTACAGTCTAAAGGGATGAGGGACACATACACAAAGGGAAGTCAGGGAATCAAGTGATGTGAATGTACCCAAGAATGGGAGGGGTGTTTGGGTCGAGGGATCACAATAAATGGGAAAAAGGAAGGTTCTTGGGTGTAGCAGAACTCTCCTTTCTTATGTTTTCTGTGAAGAAATCCCTCTTTTATATGCAATATTTCTTCCTTATTCATTCGGTAGATATAACTACCGAACAGAGACCACCCCCCTGGCTCATTAAAACTTCAAATAATTCCTCAGTTGAACCCTCTATCTCGTACTACCAAACGCCACGTGGCTGAGAAAACGGCGGGCCATCTTTTTTCACGCGAACAAAGGCAGCGGGACTTGGTCGTTGAGTGTCTGGAACTAAAATCGGACACTCAACTTCCCGAACACCGGTCTCAACAAGCAAATGCTGGATCTTTATTTCCCGAACAGCTAGAATAGCGCTGTTCGGTACTTTTGTGCATTCGAATGAGGGGAACAATCGCTGCTAAGAGCCAGGGGAATCCATTCGTGGAATTATTCGTTTTTTGCCACTTAACTGAATAGACCGGCAAAACCACCCAAACTCCTGGAACTATTTTGGGCAGCCACCGCGCGGTTAGCCGGTCACAAAAAACTTCCATACTTTTTGAGAACCCCTGAACCGATCTGGGTGAAATTTGAATATGTTGGTCACCCAGATTGGAGCTATCACGGGACATATTGTTTGTGGGGATACCCCATGCCTAAAGGGGTGTTCTGAATATTGGAGAAAATTTAAATTTTTCTGCCTGGAGATAATCAAGTTATTACTTTATCAGACTTGATTATCTCCAGGACTAGGGAAGGAATTGTATGTTTGTGCTAGGTGTGTTTTACGGTTTTCCTGTAAATGATTGGTTGTACTGTGTCCCACCCTGTGGGATGTCACCTTGCATGGGGACTTGCATAAAAGCCAGTGTGTGGTCATTAAAAGCCAGTTCTGTTGTACCCTTCTTCTTGACTTTGGCTGATGTTTGGGGATTCGTATGCTTTATTAAGGGAATCATCTTGTAAAGCTATTGTGTTCGTATGGATTTCGTTTATTTCATCTACCGAACGTAGAGCTATAATCACTGATGCTCTGGCGGTTCAGGAGGAAACTACCGAATGAGGATTGGATATACTAGGTTTCCTTACATTTTCCCTATCTTGACCCTGTGTTTCCTTTGTTGTGTTTGTAGAACTACCTGCACCCCATTAGGGAGTACCGCCACGAACAGGACTCCGTTCACCTCCCGAACAGAGACCACTACGAAATCTCATTTAGAATGTGGTTTTAGAACGTTCACACCTCATAATGAGGTGTCAAAACCGCAAGGGAAGACTTGGCACGGGCCTCCCCGTTGGCAACTCGCAACATAGTGTGAAACCGCAAGGGAAGTAATTAATGAGTGCTTCAGTGTGTGGCCACCATTCGTATAGGCGGATGCCGGCCAGTGTGTCCCGAAAGGAAACGCTTCCCTGGTTATTATTCTGGGGTTTCCTGAGATTGGTGGGGACATCCTTTGGGGACAATGGTGGAGGTTGACGGGCTCTTTGTCACTGGGAGACAAAGAGGCATGAAGTTTCCCGTGCAACGACCCCAAGATACAGAGACTTCTGGGAAGAAGACACCGGGTAGGGGAAGGGCCCTGGAAGGAGACACTAAGTGGTGGAAACAAGGGACAAAGGGACTGGATTTCCGTTTCTGTCAGGGGACACCTGGGAGTGGGAGGGGACACTGAGTGATGGAACAGGGGACAAAGAGACTGCGGTTCCAGGTCCGTTATAGGCCCCCCGGTGGGGGAGGACCCTGGGAGGGGACATTGTCTTCACGTGTGTTCCACCCCTTGCATGGGAAAAGTATAAAGCCGCATGTGGCCAATAAAGTTGTTCGGCGGCATTCTAAAAAGATGAGGCAACCCTGGAGAAGTCCTGTAGGCAAAAGTCTGGGATGCGAGAACAGAACATTAATAGGTAGGCGACTGAGCAAAGCGGCTGGGCAGGAACATATCTGCTAATGAGCAGGGCCAGCCTTAGGGGCCTATATAGCCATGTAGCCTATATAGCATTCACATGCCTCGAGTCACAGAGCACATCTATAAAGCAGGTCTGGCCACCCAGGGGCGGGAGCAAAATGGCCTGCTGCCTGGTAAATTCTACACACTAAGGGACTGCACACACTGTGTCTGTCTGCCCGTAATTGCGTGTGACTGTCATTCTGCCTGTAACTGTGTGTGTGTGTGTGTGTGTGTGTGACTGTCTGCCCTTTAACTATGTGTGTCTGTCTGTAACTGTGTGTATCTGCCTGCAACTCTATGTGTGTGTGTGTGTGTGTGTGTGACAGTAACTGTGTGTGTCTGTCTGCTAGAATGTGTGTATATGTGCATTTGTCTGTCTGTAACTTTGTGTGTCTGCCTGTAAGTGTGTGTGTGTGTATGTATGTATGTCTGCCTGTAACCATGTGACCCCACCTGTAACTGTGTATCTCTCTGTCTGTAACGGTGTGTGTGTGTGTCTGTGAGTGTGTCTGCATGTATGGCTCTATATATGTGACTTTCCGCCTGTACCTGTGTGTGTCACTGTCTTCCTGTAACTGTGTGTGTGTGTGTGTGTGGTGTGACTGTCTGCATGTAACTGTGTGTGTGTGTCTGTCTGTGTATCTGCAACTGTGTTTGTGACTGTCTAACTGTGTGTGTGTGTGTGTGACTGTTTGCCTGTTTTGGTGTTTGTGTGTGTGACTGTCTGTACCTGTGTATGTGTGTGACTGCATGTGGCTGCCTGCACCTGTGTATGTGTGTGGCTGCTTGTAACTGTGTGTTTGACTATTTATCTGTAACTGTGTATGTGTGACTATGTGCCTGGGACTGTGTGCATGTGGCTGTATTTGATAGTGTATCAGATTTTGGGAGTGCATGTGACTCTGCAAAAATATACACCTACATTCACACATGGGTCTACATGCTTATTTTTTTTAATCTGAATTAAATACCTATCACACACAGCCAATAAACCCAGTACAAATATCACACACAGCCAACACCAATTACAAATATCATGTGCAGTCAACACATAGCATACATATCACACACAGCCATCACACCTCTCACACACAAAGACAACACACACATTACATCATATTATTATGAGATTTATTACAGATGAGCACTGTCATACAAAATGCACATTACACTATGTGTGTTTGATAGTTGGGGAGCCATGTGATGCACTAATAGGCACATTACTATATTGTTGTTGTGGAGCTCTGTGACATATTCATTCATATAAACTACTGTGAGTTTTATTATTGTGGAGTTCTTTGAAAAACTGGTATACACCACATAGTTCTATGAGGGATTTTTGTTTCTGTGGAGCTCAGTGATAAATGGAAAAACAGCGCAATATTGTGAGTATTTATTCTAAGCTGAGCAAGGTAAATAAGTAAAATCCAGTGCTCCAAAGCAAAACAACTCACATTATTATGTGACATACTTAATCTGCCCCTCTGTAATGCAGGGAAGGCAGTCTGGCACATCTGGCCTGCATTTCTGATGGCTGCAGACCATAAGTAGCTGTCTTCCGAGCTCCTGCGAATATGAGTGTTGCCATCAGGGTCTTTCTGGCCCACCAGGATACCGAAAAATTTCCCCCATGGGCCACTGCACTTGGGGCCAGTAATGTATAAGATACATATATTTTTTTATTTGGAGGCTGGGGCATAGTTAGGTAGGTGACTGCAGAGGTGGCAGCCAGGTAGCAGCAGGGAGGAGAGAGAGCACTGAAAGCCTCTCCCACAAAAGCTCCTTTGTGGTTTCCAGCACAGCATGGCCAGTCAGCTAGGACCTCACCTTCGCAAAGGAGCCCCGCCCCTAAGCCTAAGCTAGCTGACCTTTTACACAGGAAGAGCAAAAGAACCTCATGAAGAGACCTCACACTGCACTTAGATTCCCCACTTCCAGTGACACTTATTTGCATGTTACCCAGCAGCCAATGACTGATAGTGATTGTGTGTGTGTGCTTATCAGTGAGCTTGTTTGGTTCATAGAGCTTGTGTGTGTCAGTGAGCTTGTCCTTAGTGAGCTTGTGGTTGCATCAGGAAATGTGTGTGTGTGTTGGTGAGCCTATCTGTATTGTGCTTGTGTGTGTCTCTCATTGCGTTTGTAGTGAACTTGTTTGTTGTGAGCTTGTGTATGGGTAAGGGAGCTTGTGTGTGTTGTGAGTTTGTTTGTAGTGAGCTTGTGTGTGTCAGAGAGCTTGCCTGTAGTAAGCTTGTGTGTGTCAGTGAGCTTGTCTGTAGTGAGCTTGTGTGGGTCAGAGTGCTTCTGTGTGTGCCAAGGAGCTTGTCTGTAGTGTGCTTGTGTGTGTCAGTGAGATTTTCTGTAGTGAGCCAGTGAGCTTTTCTGTAGTGAGCTTGTGTGGGTCAGAGAGCTTGACTGCCAGTGAGCTTGTGTGTGTCAGTGAGCTCTTCTGTAGTGAGCTTGTGTGTGCCAGTGCGCTTGTCTGTAGTGAGCTTGTGTGGGTCAGTGAGCTTGACTGTCAGTGAGCTTGTGTGTTTCAGTAAGCTTTTCTGTAGTGAGCTTCTGTGTGCCAGTGAGCTTGTCTGTAGAGAGCTTGTGTGTGTGTGTCAGTGAGCATGTCTGTAGTGTGCTTAGGTGAGTGTGTAAGTGAGCTTGTGTGTGTCTGTAAGCTTGTTTGTAGTGAGTTTGTGTATGGGTCAGTGAGCTTGTGTGTGTGTGTGAGCTTGTCTGTAGAGAGCTTGTTTTTGTCAGTGAGCCTGTCTGTAGTGAGCTTGTGTGTGTCAGCGAGCTTGTATGGGTCAGAAAGCTTGTGTGTGTTTGCGTCAGTGAGCTTGTCTGTAGTGAGCTTGTGTGTGTTTTGGTCAGTGAGCTTGTAGTAAGCTTGTCATTAGTGAGCTTGTGTGGTTCAGAGAGATTGTCTTTAGTGAGCTTGTGTATATTAGTGACTTGTGTGTGTGTCAGTGAACTTGTCTGTTGTGAGCTTGTGTTTGGTCAGGGTGCTTATGTGTGTGTGTTGGTGAGCTTATCTGTAGTGTGCTTGTGTCTGTCTGTCATTGAGCTTGTAGTGAGCATGTCTGTTCTGTTCTGCTCAGATGTCTGGCCTTGGCTTCTGGTATCCAGTACTCTTTTTACAATTCTTGTTTAGTTTTTCTTGATTTTTCCTCGTTTTCTATTCTATGTCTGGTTTTCTTTATGCTGGGTTTTTGGGTTCATTCCCTTATTCCGTTCCTGCAATTCCCAGTCTCCCGGATTCCTTTAAATGTTTGTTTTTTGTTGTCACACCCATTCCTTTCCTATTTAATCCTTTTTGTTTCAGTCTGTTCCTGCTTGCAGTGGTCTCATTTCCTCTGCACCTTTCTTTGCAGGTAAGTACTGTGTGTGTACAAAGAGAATACCACCAGGTAAAGTAAACAAACCCTATCAAGTAGTATAAAAAATGGGTTAAAGGGGTAGCAAAAAGGGCATAACCCTACATATACAATTGGAAAAGAAAAATAGTAAGGAGAAATCCTCCCGTAGCACGACGACGAGGGGAATCCTCCCACTAGAGCTACCCCAAGAGAAATATAACTATACAGGCTAGTATAACTAGAAACAACTTTAATATGAATATGACATAAGTTACACATATAAGTTAAACATCCCACAAAGTAGAAAGACTTTTAACATGTGTTAGGCTGGAAGGTACCGGCAATCAGTCACAATTAAATCAATCTGTGAGAGCTTGAGAAAAAGTTACCACACTTGTAGCAAACATTGTAGTTAATCGTAGAAACAATGTCTCAATATATGCTCACAAGGTAGAGAATGTGAATGATTATCACAGAGTTAATGTGCTGTGTCCTAGTTCATAAAACAACAGAGGATGGCACATAAATCCCCTTACAAATCAAAAAATAATTATTAAAAAATGCCCAAAACTCTTATCATAAAGTATGAAATCGAAAGGACAGAAGAGAGAGTATGTAATGTAAAATAAAGGGTAAAGGAGAAATAATCCTCGGGGGGGTCCACAATAATGGAAGAAGAAGAGACACCTCCACTGTGGGTACCCCTAATATATAGGTATAAGTGCCCCAACTGTATGAACAAAACCGGACGGTCAATATAACAAATAGGCACGAATGCGCGAGGACTTAGAAAAATATGCGTAAGTACTGTGTGTGTTTTATTGTTGTTTAGTTAGTCTTGCATATCTAGGCAGTTAGGACTCACTGTAATTGGAGTACTTTGGCGCAGTGGTGGGCTGCATACATCTTGGCCATTTATGTATGTCTAAATCTCCAGTGTTTATTACATTTATAGTACTTAGTTATGTCTCCTCTTGTTTTGCCTTGTATCTCTTGTCTCGTTTTATTTGTCTTGTATTCCCAGTTCATGTACAGTCTTGTCCTGCCCTGTCCATGTCCTGTTCATGTTTCCCTCATGTATTGTGTACATGTTCTGGGTTCTGCTTTCTGTCCTGCTCCAGTTCTGGGTTCTTCTAGTCTTGTCTTGTTATCTTCTTTGGTGTCTGTTTTAGTCTTACCTTGTTTCTAGTACTGGATACACATCAGCATATCATCTGGCTCCTGGCTTCCGCTAAGCTGCATCAGGGCTCTGGTATGTGGCTGCACAAACCCTGGTGCTCTAGACCCTAATAGTTAATTTCCACACTGAGACTCCCAACCATCATCAGGCACACAGGGGTCCCTGTCTTAGGACCGCCACCCATGAGAGCTTGTCTGTAGTGAGCTTGTGTGTGTGTCACGGCTCCCGGTATGTCTGACCGCGTGGCTGCACTCAAACAGAGCAGCCACGCTGTCAGACATAATCTAAACTTACCTTGGGCTCGGCAGGGAAGCTGTCTAGACTCCTTCCTTTCTGGTCCCCAGCGGGTGCGACGCTCCTAGGAGCGCCGGCCACTATGGACCGGGCTTTTATAGGAAACCTACCTTCGCCCATGTCACGTCATAGACGTGCACGCACGTTTTGGGTCAGAGGTCAGACACAGCCAATTACAGCCTAAGGAGGGATATTTAAACTCAAAATAGCATTTGGTCAGTGCCCTGTTGTGGTTTCCCTTAGCTGGTTATCCGAGAAAGGGTTCCTTTGTCTTTGTTTGACTTCCCTGATCTCTGGTATCCTTGACTTTTGGCTTTCCCTCATCGTTGTGTCTCGTTCTGTATCCCTGACCTCGGCAAGTATTCTGACTATTCTAGGATACGTTAAATCCAGCCATTCTAGAGTCTGGTTATATGTTCTCCTTAGTCCTAGGTGTGATATTATTCTGCGTGCTAGATCACTTAGTAATCCTGACAGTGTGTCAGTGAGCTTGTCTGTAGAATGCTTGTGTATGGGTCAAATAGCTTGGATGTGTGTCTGTGACCTTGTTTGTAATGAGCTAGTTTCTGTCAGTGAGCTTGTCTGTAGCTTGTGTGTGTCAGTGAGCTTGTCTGTAGTGAGCTTGTGCAAGTCAGAGAGGTTTTGTGTATTTGTGTCAGTGAGGTTGTGGTGAACTTGTGCGTTTCAGTGAGTGTGTCTGTAGTGTGTGTGTGTCAATGAGCTTGTGTGGGTTAAAGAGCTTCTGTGTGTGTAAGAGAGCTTGTTTGTAGCAAACCTGTGTGTGAGTGCCCCATTGAGCTTGTCTCTGTATGTTAGTTAGCTTGTGTTATTTATTAATGTTTAATATGCTTTTTAATATACAGGGAGTGCAGAATTATTAGGCAAATTAGTATTTTGACCACATCATCCTCTTTATGCATGTTGTCTTACTCCAAGCTGTATAGGCTCGAAAGCCTACTACCAATTAAGCATATTAGGTGATGTGCATCTCTGTAATGAGAAGGGGTGTGGTCTAATGACATCAACACCCTATATCAGGTGTGCATAATTATTAGGCAACTTCCTTTCCTTTGGCAAAATGGGTCAAAAGAAGGACTTGACAGGCTCAGAAAAGTCAAAAATAGTGAGATATCTTGCAGAGGGATGCAGCACTCTTAAAATTGCAAAGCTTCTGAAGCGTGATCATCGAACAATCAAGCGTTTCATTCAAAATAGTCAACAGGGTCGCAAGAAGCGTGTGGAAAAACCAAGGCGCAAAATAACTGCCCATGAACTGAGAAAAGTCAAGCGTGCAGCTGCCACGATGCCACTTGCCACCAGTTTGGCCATATTTCAGAGCTGCAACATCACTGGAGTGCCCAAAAGCACAAGGTGTGCAATACTCAGAGACATGGCCAAGGTAAGAAAGGCTGAAAGACGACCACCACTGAACAAGACACACAAGCTGAAACGTCAAGACTGGGCCAAGAAATATCTCAAGACTGATTTTTCTAAGGTTTTATGGACTGATGAAATGAGAGTGAGTCTTGATGGGCCAGATGGATGGGCCCGTGGCTGGATTGGTAAAGGGCAGAGAGCTCCAGTCCGACTCAGACGCCAGCAAGGTGGAGGTGGAGTACTGGTTTGGGCTGGTATCATCAAAGATGAGCTTGTGGGGCCTTTTCGGGTTGAGGATGGAGTCAAGCTCAACTCCCAGTCCTACTGCCAGTTCCTGGAAGACACCTTCTTCAAGCAGTGGTCCAGGAAGAAGTCTGCATCCTTCAAGAAAAACATGATTTTCATGCAGGACAATGCTCTATCACACGCGTCCAAGTACTCCACAGCGTGGCTGGCAAGAAAGGGTATAAAAGAAGAAAATCTAATGACATGGCCTCCTTGTTCACCTGATCTGAACCCCATTGAGAACCTGTGGTCCATCATCAAATGTGAGATTTACAAGGAGGGAAAACAGTACACCTCTCTGAACAGTGTCTGGGAGGCTGTGGTTGCTGCTGCACGCAATGTTGATGGTGAACAGATCAAAACACTAACAGAATCCATGGATGGCAGGCTTTTGAGTGTCCTTGCAAAGAAAGGTGGCTATATTGGTCACTGATTTGTTTTTGTTTTGTTTTTGAATGTCAGAAATGTATATTTGTGAATGTTGAGATGTTATATTGGTTTCACTGGTAATAATAAATAATTGAAATGGGTATATATTTGTTTTTTGTTAAGTTGCCTAATAATTATGCACAGTAATAGTCACCTGCACACACAGATATCCCCCTAACATAGCTAAAACTAAAAACAAACTAAAAACTACTTCCAAAAATATTCAGCTTTGATATTAATGAGTTTTTTGGGTTCATTGAGAACATGGTTGTTGTTCAATAATAAAATTAATCCTCAAAAATACAACTTGCCTAATAATTCTGCACTCCCTGTATATATATATATATATATATATATATATATATATATATATATATAATATTTGTTGCAATGGTGCCATTGACATACGGATGCTGATTTGCTGATATGGTCATGGGCATAGAGGACTGGTGTTGGCATGGGCAAGCAGGGCCAATTACAACAGGCAGGGGGCGGCCTGAGTGGTGGGTGTTACAGCATTGTTACAGCACTATAACACCCATGTATTATCTAGAGCAATGAGCTGCAGGTGAGAAACAATGTCCCAAAGCACATAAATATAAAAAATACAAACACACCATGTGACACAAAGAATTATGAGGCAGGATTTTTTTTTCCATGGCTACTTTCTGTTCTCAGTCCGGCCCTGGTTGCTGCGGATTACCACAGGAAAGCTCTGACACTGTAAGTGCCTGAGTTCATGAGACAGTTACTCATGGTCTGTGTGACGAAGTGCCCTTCGCCACTTGGTCCTGGAGAGGCCTACTTGCCAGACTCCTCCCCTGTGACTATGACTCTTTCATGTATTTGGCTTTAAAGCCCCTAGTCTACCTTCAGACAGACTATTTATGTAGGCTGCTTTATTTATCTTATGTTTTAGTCACCTTGTACCCATTATAGGTGCAGGGTGTGTGTAATGTAATTGTTTATAGTGTTTGTGTGTGTACTGTGTAATGTATTGCCTGCTCTCTTGTACTGCTGAGGTTTGCTACCAACTAGGTGGGTTTGGCTATGGAGCTGGTCTAGTGCCCTCTGTTGGTAGCAACAGCAATATGCACTACCTGAATAGCAAGACTGGTTCATTTGCATATTCGGGTAGATTTGCATATTGCTAATTCTGCAGACACGTGAGATATTTTCTGTTAAATATTGTCTCCCCCTTTAAAAATGTGCCATTGTGTTGTGATAAGTCACTGTGTGTTGCCTGCTATGGTTTGACTGTTTGTGATTTTATTGAGTTTTCACAGCAATGTTAATGTTGTGACCCTATGGGCTGGTCCCAAGGGAAATATAGGTTTAGACAGTTCTTCTTGATCCTTATAAACGTAGCCTTGTCTCGTTATTGGAGGGAGCGGTTATAATCACACTGGGGATTGCTATGCTCTGCATGCTCCCCTGAGCTTGAATCACTTAGCTCTTTTAAGAGCTTGTTCCTGACATGCTCTCCTTGGAGGAGTGGTCTTCACCACACAGTCCTGGATGCTGGAGGTTCATACAGGGTGGAAGGAAGAGTTCTTTCCCACACAGTCCTGGAGGACAGAAGCTGATCCAGGGTGGAAGGAAGACGGCGAGACTTCAGTCAAGATACAGTGGTTGCGGAGTCTGCGGGGGTTGTGGTGTCTGCTGCACTGCTTGGAGTCCTCAGGAAGCGCTAGCATGCCTCCCTCCCTGCACGATAACAATTGGATTAATATTTGTTTTTAAACAATAATACATTTTATAATCCCATACAAACACTACCCCTATACACACAACATACATGGATAAAGGGGGATAACACATGGGGTGGGGGAGAGGCGCTGTGATGATTTTTTTGCACAAAGTGCTTAACAGCCTAAGGCCAGCCCTGCTAATGAGTGAGGAGATATAAGCAGGCGCACAGGTCTGGAGAGCTTTGTAAGCTTTGTAATTAACCACAAGAAGTTTGAACCAAATCCTAAATTAAGCCAGTGCAGAGACTTTCAGAAAAGTGAGGTGTGAGCCTTGCTGGACATAAAGTAGATGAGTCTGGCAGAGGCGTTCATCACAGACTGTAGAAAGGCACACTGCACACTTTTCAGGCCGACAAGCTGAGGGTTACAATAATCAAGATGGGAAACAAAGAGAGCATGGACAAGCGTCTTAGTTGCATCCTGAGTGAGAAAGGAGTGAACACAGGAAATGTTTTTAGGATGAAATGAAAAGATTTGGTGATTGATTTTATGTAAGGGGTGAAGGAAAGTGTGATGGACCCTCTGGTCACCTAAGCCAGGTACATGTCTCCCCGACCCTTCACCTCCTCCAAAGAGACTATATCACTAAGGACTAACCCTCCAGCCTATGTCTCCCTCCCAGCATTCCTTCCTGGCTACCCAGAACCGCCCATCTTTCACTAAAATGAATGCTGAGACATGCTGTGCATGACCTGTAATAGAATCCTCTTCTATTATCTTTTCTTTCTATGCCTATGTAGCCAGTTTTACTGGGAGAGAGACTGTGTTAGTTAACTATTGCCAGCTCAACCTTTTACTACTATCCTCCTGTATATACCCTATATCTGACTAATACCTGTCTCCCAGGTCTATTTCAAGGATACTAACACATATACTATTGGTACTCCATACTGAGCGATTTGACTGACACTTTCAGTTATATCCATCAACCTATAGCAATTTGATCATATTTGGCTATCCTGTCCTGATCTGTGAATTAATTGTCCTGTCTATTCGGCTAGGGCAGAGAATATAGATATTACCTTTTTATCCCTGTCTCTGGGATGACCTGGTGTGTTTTTTATGTAGTTAACTTCAGTTTATTGGGGATCCAATAGAGGCTCTACCTTTTGATCCAATGCAATAAAGCTCATTTTATCTGATGATTTCCTCTACTTGGACATAATCCCCTCTAACTGAGTTGATACATATTTGCAGGCATAGCAGTTCATTTATTAGTGGTTATGTTTTTTTGCTGGTGTATCTTATTTAGCTTTATTTAGTTTTCTGCTTTCATCCTATATTTTTTTGCATTAACATCACTCAGGACTACAGAGATATCCAGGAAATACAGCGACTTTCATACGGTGTTTGCATGAGAGTCAATGTATTTTTTCTCTTTCTGCGTCTGACCTGTAGCAGCTCTAATTACCCTGCAACTCTGAAGCGCAAATCAGAGTCTCCGCAGTACGCTAAAAGTTTGATGAGAATGCTTTTGGACACTCAATCAGGGTGCTCTTTGGAGGGTTAACAGAGATGGAGAGGCATTGAAAGACACCAAGGACTTGGGGGAACTCTATGTACTCACAAAAGTAGCAGTGAATCAAGGTGACCGGGAAACTCTACCAACCACTCTGGAGCCCTGTATCGGATCGGTGGCTAGCTGCGTCCTGCTGAAACTTTCTACTTCCACCTAATCCGGGCTAGCCATATCAAACCCGGGCACTTTTTGGAAAGAATGGGCACTGTAACAGACCGTTTTCGCTCACAAGAGGTTAAAAACCGTTTAGGCGATATTCCCCTTTTTCAGCTGCACAGACAGCTACTGCAAGCACCAATCTCCCGAACTGCAAACCCACGAATTCACCAACTCCCAAACTGCAACCAAGGGAATACTCGA